ATAAGCCATGGATTACAGGCAACATCTGCACTGAGCTAAATGGTAGAGCTGCCGCTTTCAAGGAGCGGGACTCTAACCCGGACGCTTATAAGAAATCCCGCTATGCCCTCCGACGAAACATCAAACAGGCAAAGAGTCAATACAGGACTAAGATTGAATCATACTACACCAGCTCTGACGCTCGTCGGATGTGGCAGGGCTTGAAAACTATTACAGTCTACAAAGGGAAGCACAGCTGCGAGCTGCTCAGTGACACAAGCCTACCAGACGAGCTAAACCACTTCTATGCTCGCTTCGAGGCAAGCAACACTGAAGCATGCATGAGAGCACCAGCTGTTCCGGATGACTATGTGATCACGCTCTCCGTAGCCGATGTGAGTAAGACTTTTAAGCAGGTCAACATTCACAAGGCCGCAGGGCCAGACGTATTACCAGGACGTGTACTCCGAGCATGTGCTGACCAACTGGTAAGTGTCTTCATTGACATTTTCAACATGTCCCTGACTGAGTCTGTAATACCAACATGTTTCAAGCAGACCACTATAGTCCCCGTGCCCAAGGACACTAAGATAACCTGCCTAAATGACTACCGACCCGTAGCACTCACGTCTGTAGCCATGAAGTGCTTTGAAAGGCTAGTCATGGCTCACATCAACACCATTATCCCAGAAACCCTAGACCCACTCCAATTTGCATACCGCCCCAACAGATCCACAGATGATGCAATCTCTATTGCACTCCACACTGCCCTTTCCCACCTGGACAAGAGGAACACCTACGTGAGAATGCTATTCATTGACTACAGCTCAGCGTTCAACACCATAGTGCCCTCATAGCTCATCACTAAGCTAAGGATCCTGGGACTAAACACCTCCCTCTCAACTGGATCCTGGACTTCCTGACGGGCCGCCCCCAGGTGGTGAGGGTAGGTAACAACACATCTGCCACGCTGATCCTCAACACGGGGGCCCCTCAGGAGTGCATGCTCAGTCCCTTCCTGTACTCCCTGTTCATCCATGACTGCATGGCCAGGCACGACTCCAACACCATCATTAAGTTTGCCGACGACACAACAGTGGTAGGCCTGATCACCGACAACGATGAAACAGCCTATAGGGAGGAGGTGTGGTGCCAGGCTAACAACCTCTCCCTCAACGTGACCAAGACAAAGGAGATTATTGTGGACTACAGGCAAAAAAAGAGGACTGAGCACGACGGGGCTATAGTGGAACAGGTTGAGAGCTTCAAGTTCCTTGGTGTCCAAATCACCAACGAACTATCATAGTCCAAACACACCAAGACAGTCATGAAGAGGGCACGACAAAGCCTATTCCCCCTCAGGAGACTGAACATATTTGGCATGGGTCCTCAGATCATCAAAGTTATACAGCTGCACCATTGAGAGCATCCTGACTGGTTGCATCACCGCCTGGTATGGCAACTGCTCGGCCTCCGACCGCAAGGAACTACAGAGGGTAGTGCGTACGGCCCAGTACATCACTGGGACCAAGCTTCCTGCCATCCAGGACCTCTATTCCAGGCGTTGTCAGAGGAAGGCCCAAGAAATTGTCAAAGACTCCAGCCACCCTAGTCATAGACTGTTCTCTCTGCTACCGCACGGCAAGCGGTACCGGAGCGCCAAGTCTAGGTCCAACAGGCTTCTTAGCAGCTTCTGCCCCCAAGCCTGAACAGCTAATCATGGCTACCCGGACTATTTGCATTGTCCTCCCCCACCCCACCCCACCCCTCTTTTACGCTGCTGCTACTCTGTTTATTAACTATGCATTGTCACTTTAACTCTACCCACATGTACATATTACCTCAATTACCTCGGCTAACCGGTGCCCCTGCACATTGACTCTGTACCGGTACCCCTGGATATAGCCTCCCTACTGTTATTTTATTTTACTGCCGCTCTTTAATTTTTTGATATTTTTAATATTTTACTTATCAATTTTTTACTTAACACTTTTTTTTCTTAAAACTGCATTGCTAGTTAAGGGCTTGTAAGTAAGCATTTCACAGTAAGGTCTACACCTGTTGTATTCGGCGCATGTGGCAAATAACATTTGATTTGATTTGTTGGTTCCAGACTTGGTGCACTGGTACCGTTTGCCGTGCGGTAGCAGAGAGAACAGTCTATGCTTGGGTGGCTGGAGTCTTTGAAAAATGTTTGGGCCTTCCTCTGACACCGCCTGGTATATAGTTACTGGATGGCAGGGAGCTCGACCCCAGTGATGTACAGGGCCATACTCACCACCCTCTGTAGTGTCTTGCGGTCGAGTGCCTTGCAGTTGACGAACTAAGTGGTGATGCAGCCGGTCAAGATGCTCTCAATAGTGCAGCTGTATAACTTTTTGAGGATCTGAGGGCCCTCTGCACAACTGTGTAGGTGTTTGTAGACTATCTTAATTCCTTAGTGATGTGGTCACCGAGGAACTTGAAGCTCTCGACCCGCTCCACTACAGCCCCATCGATGTAGATGGGAGCGTGCTCGCCTCTCCGTTTCCTGTAGTCCATGATCAGCTCCTTTGTCTTGTTGACTTTGAAGGAGAGGTTTTTGTCCTGGCACCATACTGCCAGGTCTCTGAACCTCCTCCCTATAGGCTGCCTCATCGTCGTTGGTGATCAGTCCTACCACCATCGGGATAGAGCAGGGTTCGAACAGTCTGAGTATAGGGGCCAATTCTTTTTATGTTTCATTAATAGAGAGAACGTCCATGCTGTGCCTGCTACTGCTCTAACCAAGGCAACTCTCTATGGGATAAGCCCAATACAGGGTTAGATCAGGGTAGAGTAGGGGCAAAACTTATTTAAGTTGCATTAGTAGAGAGAACGAACATGCTGTGTTGTGCCTGTTACCGTATTAACCTCTTTGGGATAGAGCAGGGTTCGACCAGGCTGAGTAGGGGCTAATGTTATTTATGTGACGTTAGTAGAGAGCAACATTATGGACTAAACGTTCAAATTATTTTGCTGCAGGATTAATTTGCTGTGACAATATAGGTCAAATTAAGATCCATCATCTGTAGGTAAAAGGTCTTCCTGTCCTCAGGTTTATAATTCAACTCATCAGGGAGGGTCATTACAGGTAGGGTAATTACAAGCCATTGTGGAGATGAAGGGCACAGAGACCTTTGCCTCAATGAAATGTCATAGGGTGCTGCTCTGCTTCTCATCTCCCAAAGGACTCTCATTACACTGCAGGGAGCTAGCTGTTTCTGGGAGAAAGAAGGAGTGGGAGAGGAGAGAAGGGGAGAAGGAGAGAGAGAGAGAGAGAGAGGCAGCTGCTGTCTGAGACTGACCTGCTTTGACACTTTGGATTCTCCCTGACTGACTTGTCAACTTACTGGATTTGTAACCCCTGTGCGTGTGTGTGTGTGCGTGTGAGTGTGTGAGTGTGTGCATCCATGTCTGCATGTGTGTAGATTGCAAACCTTGTCAGCAGAAACGTCCAATCCCATCCATCCATATAGAAACAAATAACTAAACCCTGATATTCATTTTCCTCAGCTTTACCCAACACATCTCTCCGGGCACTGGGGATAACACTTTACAGAAACAATCTCGTCAAGGAAAAACTCTCATCGATCTGTATTCTACAGCCCTACAGCTGTTTCTGCTACAGTATTATGGCTGTATCGGTCTCCCTGTTATGAAATCAGAAGACCCATTAGGGGTGATGAGTTAATTTAGAAGATATGCTAGATCCAGGTAGTACACTCTCAAGCAGCAGCTGTTACTGAACCTTCATTGTTGTGGTGCTAGCTTCATTCTTGTGTTCTTCTACTGCTTTTCTGTTATGGTTGTGTTTCTCTGTTGTGGTTGAGTTTCTCTGTTGTGGTTGTGTTTCTCTGTTATGGTTGTTTCTCTGCTATGTTTGTTTCTCTGTTATGGTTGTGTTTCTCTGTTATGGTTGTGTTTCTCTGGTATGGTTGTTTCTCTGTTATGGTTGTGTTTCTCTGTTATGGTTGTGTTTCTCTGTTATGGTTGTTTCTCTGTTATGGTTGTGTTTCTCTGTTATGGTTGTGTTTCTCTGTTATGGTTGTTTCTCTTTTATGGTTGTGTTTCTCTGTTATGGTTGTGTTTCTCTGTTATGGTTGTGTTTCCCTGTTATGGTTGTTTCTCTGTTATGGTTGTATTTGTCTGTTATGGTTGTGTTTCTCTGTTATGGTTGTATTTGTCTGTTATGGTTGTGTTTCTCTGTTATGGTTGTGTTTCTCTGTTATGGTTGTGTTTCTATGTTAGGGTTGTTTCTCTGTTATGGTTGAACGTTTTGCTGATGATATTGTTCAATGTTTCCCAGTCTGAATACTTCAAGTACTACTTAAGTCGTTATTTGAGGGATCTGCACTTTACTTTACTATTTATGTTTTTTGACAACTTTTACTTTACTTCACTACATTCTTAAAGAAAATACATACATACATTTTCCCTGACACCCAAAAGTGTCCTCCTCCGACAACCTTAGGCACCTCCTCACTCACAGTCTGGACTAATCAGAATCCTATTGGTGTCACCTGTGTCTACATGTTCACCTGTGTATTTATGCCCTCACTTCCCTGTGTTCCCTTGCTCAGTTTTCTCTGCTAGTTTCTCGATGCTCAGCAGTACCACGACTGTCTAAGAAGGAAGCTAGCGGTGGTTTAAATCAATTAAAAGAGTAAAAAATTGTTTGTAACTAATATAGAGAAGAGTCGGAGCAGTGGTGCGGGCGCTATTCTCCTCGCAGAGATGGCGAAAAATTCGCATTTTAGGGCGATTCCCAGGATTGGGATCACGAACGCAGTTAGGTTTGCGTGGAAGGAGAAGGACATGGAGCCTTTTGGAAGGGAAACATTTGGGAGGACTTTGTTGATGGGAGTGTTAAAGCTGGCGGTAAAGGACGTGATGTGCCTCCAGGCGAACCCCTTGGAAGGGGCTTATGATGTGGTTTTTCACACGGAGGGGAAGCATGACGAGGTCATGAAAAGGCGAGGGAGGTGGAGAAGGCCAGGCCGATGTGCCACTACGAGGTGACAACCTTGGCCAAGAACAACCCGCATGTTAAGGATGAGGAGGTGAGGGCTTTTATGGGGAGGTATATGGACAATGTCTCCTCGGCAAGGCTCCTCAAAGACTCGCTAGGGTTCTGGAATGGGAGGAGAAGCTTCCAGGCTCTGTTGAGGGAAGACCCAAAGGGCCTGGGAGGTTACCTTCATCCTCCAGCCCTGTTCTCCCTGGGGGCTGACAGGGGGACATTGTTTTATGCCCGTCAGCCCCCTTTCTGCAGACGATGCATGGCCTATGGCCATAATTTAGCCTCATGTGGGGCGAAGAAATGCAGGGTGTGTGGGTCTGAGGCACACGAGGCGAGGGACTGTGACGAGTCGAAGAAGTGCCACGGGTGTGGATCGTCAGCACACCTGTGGAGGGAGTGTACGGCTCATCACAAGTCGTATGCAGCTGCAACTGGTGGGGGAGCAGGGGCAGGAGCGGGGGAAGGAGGAGGAAGAGGAGGAGGAGTTCCAGACCCAAGCACAGGGCCAGAGGCAATACCATCAATGACGGAGGAGGAGCCGAGAACAGCAGCGGGAGGAGAGGGGGACTGCCGTAGCAGTTCAGGAAGGAGAGGTGGTGCCGGAGACGGAGACAGAGGGAGGTGTGGGAGAGGAGGTCGGGGAGAAGCCAACCACAGCCCTGGGAGGAGAGGAGAAGGGGGGAGAGGGGGGGCCGGAGTGGGGGGAAAGTGAGATGTTGAGTGCCCAGGGGGATGAAGAATCTCCTGTGTCCTCGCGCTTGTTATCTGTGTTTTTTTTCGGATCACGACGGGGTGCTGCTGCAGGTGCGGGCACCAGTCTGCCTCTTCGGTAGGGGGTAGTGGAAGTTAGAACGGGAGGTACTGGATGAGCAGGCTTTCGTTAATGGTTTTGTTGATTTCTTTAGGGGGCTTGAGGGCCTCCGGTCCATGTGTGAGGGGGTGTTAGAGTGGTGGGAAATAGCAAAGGTGAGGATGAGGGTTTTTATAATAGGATATTGTAAGAAGAAAAAGAGGGAGGAAAGGAGGGAGGTGGATCAAATCCAAAGGCTGCTCCAACTCGAGCTCGAGGCAGGCAACCTCGGCGGGTCGGTAGACTGGGAGAGATCCTCTGCCCTAAAGGCGCAACTTAGGGAGGTGCATGAGCGGAAGGCTTGCGCTTTTCTGGAGCGTGCGCATAATGGGTTTTTAGAACACGGCGAGACTTGTTCCGCCGTGTTCTTTACTCAGTTAGGGGAAGACAGAGTAGGAAGTAAAGATACAGGGTTAGGGAAGAAAACGGTAGAGTAGTGAGAGAAACTGAGGAAATGGTCAAGGTGACCACGGAACATTTCCAAGGTTTTTTTCAAGAAAGGGCAGTAGATGTAGAGCAGGGAAACGTGTTTTTAGAATACCTGTCCCGGCGAGTGCCAGAGGACATTAGAGAAGTGATGGAGGCTCAGATCTCCCTCGAAGAGGTTGAGAGCGCCCTCAGGAGGATGGGAAAAGGGAAGGTGCCCGGGATGGATGGGCTGCCGGCAGAGTTTTACCTGAAGTTTTGGGGGAAACTTTGTCCGGTAGTCCTTGAAGTCTTGAAGGCCATCCTCGAGACGGGGTCCCGGGGGTATCGATGGCCGTAGGTGTGCTGTCACTTCTTTACAAGAAGGGGGACGCAACAGACCTTGGCAACTGGCGGCCGTTGACCATGCTGTGAGTAGATTATAAGATGCTTGCGAAGGTTCTAGAGGACTGGTTGCACACAGCCCTTCCCTACGTCGTCCATGAGGATCAGACGTGTGGGATAGAGGGCCGCTCTATTAGGTGGAACCTGAGTTTGATTAGGGACTCCATCACTTGGGTAGAGGATAGAGGGCTGCCGTTAATGGTAGCAGCACTTGATCAGGCTAAAGCCTTTGATCGAGTGAATAGATATTTTATTTTCAGGGTGTTAGGTAGGTTAGGTTTTGGGGAGAAGTATATAGGGTGGATCCGTGCTTTATATGTCGGAGCAGGGTACCGGGTTAATGTAAATGGTCACATGGGTGAAATTTTTTACCTCGCGTCGGGGGTCAGGCAAGGGTGCCCGCTCTCGGCACTCCTCTTCGTTCTGTACATGGAGCTCCCGACGACACTTCCTTGTTACTATGCACGGACTTGTGCCTGACTAGGTCCCTTGCCATTATTGGGGAATTCACCCGAGCGTCGGGAGCGGTTCTCAATCACGGAAGATGGCGTGGGAGGACGGATGTGCCAGGGGGGGTTATCTCTCTGTATCGGGGCCCTGAAGATTCTCGGGGTCTTGTTTGAGACCTCCGGCTCAGCTGGGGATGTGGAGGGCTAGGTAGTTGTCCTTTATAGGCAAGGTCCTGGTCCTCAAGGTGGATGTGTTGCCGTCTCTTTTGTATATGGCGTACGTCTACCCATTGCCAGCTAGTCTGAGGAGGCCTCTAGTGAGGCTAGTGTTTCAGTTCATGTGGGGTGGCAGGCTCAAGCATATCGCGAGGGTTTGCATGCTCTGTCCCATCGGGGAGGGAGGTAGGGGAGTACCACATTTCCCCCTCAAGCTGGACTCGATTTTTGTTTCTTTTTTGTTGACAGAGAAACCCCGAGGTTGAAGTTGCCCGAGTAGGTTTAGATCACAGGCACCTGTATGAGGAGGTGAGACAGGGAAGGTGTCCAGGGCCCGTAGTGGGTATCCCGGCTGGGGTCTGGGAAGGAGTGCAGGTGCGTGGTCTGGACAACGGGCTCAAGGACCTGAATTGGTTGAGCCTCCATAAGTGCTTGCCTGTGCATTCCATCATGTACGGGCGTGGTATGACACGATCCCCCACCTGCCCAAGACCAACTTGTGGCGGGGAGGAGACATTGTGCCATTTTTAGGGGGGCTGTGCTTAAGCCGGGGTGGTATGGGCTAGGGCACAGGTGTTGATAGGCAGGGTGAGGGGGGATTTTGTTGTGACGTGGGCTAGGGTAGAGAGAGGTGTAGGGAAAGCGAGGGGGACAGTTAGGGACAGTTTTCTGCTCTGGCTTCTCATAAGCCTCTTTAAACGGGGGTTGTGGGAAGCTAGGCAGAAAATGGAAAGGACAGGGAGAGAAGGGGTGTGGAGGGGATAGTGAGGAGGGTGGAGCAGAATTTGAGGGGGACAATGAAGAGAGAGGAGAGGAAGTGGGGGCAGCATGCTGCTCGGGAGAGGTGGAAGGGGGTTTAGGGTAAGGGTTAGTGTTAGTGTAGAGGGGCAGGGATTTAGGATTTGTGTGTTTTTAGCTGGGTATAAAGGGGGAGGGAAGGTGCTCCCCTGGGGTGTAATTTCTGTTATTGTTCGGTTTTGTGGTTGTTTGATATATATTGTGTTGGGTAGTTTTGTATTGTTATTTTTAGTGATGTTGGGGTTGGGAATTAATGGTGTGTGTAATGTGTATGATGATGTATGGGGTAGATTTTTGAATAAAAACTTGTAATCACTACTCAGTGTCTGATCGGAGACCTATGTACAGGTACTTGAGAAGTGTTCTCCCTCTTTCATTATTTGTTTCAGTCGTAGGTAGTATTTCGTATTTTGGCTGTCAGCCGGTTTTTGGAGACTTATTTGCTTTGCCTTTCTTTTATCGTGATAAATCCATTATATTCTATTCTGGCTTCGGGACAACCAGTAAAGATCCTTGTTTCACCATCTCTGCCTACTGTATATCCTGCACCACACCTGGGTCACAGCTCACACCAACCCTTACACAAAAGTACTTGTTACATGTTGAATGCTTAGCAGGACAGTAAAATGGTCCAATTCACACACTTTTCAAGAGAACATCCCTGGTCATCCCTACTGCCTCTGATCTGGTAGATTCATTAAACACAAATGCTTTGTTTGTAAATTATTGTCTAAGTGTTGGAGTGTGCTGCTGGCTATCCATAAATTAAAAAAAACAAGAAAATTGTGCTGTCTGGTTTTCTTAATATAAGGACTTCGAAATGATTCATACTTTTACTTTTGATACTTAAATACATTTTAGCAATTACATTTACTTTTGATACTTAATTACATTTAAAACCAAATACTTTTAGACTTTTACTCAAGCAGGATTTTACTGGGTGACTTTCACTTTTATTTGAGTCATTTTCTATTAAGGTATCTTTACTTTTACTGAAGTATGACAATTGGGTACTTTTCCCACCACTTTGAAGAAGCCACTTGTCGAGTGCTTCTTAGTCATGAAATATTTGCATCCTCATAAGTGATATTGTCCACTGGATAAGGCTGTTGAGTGTCACATTTTTTGAATGTAGTGTACCCTAAAACATATTAGGTATTCTGCTTTTCCTCATGGAAGAGAAGAGTTATAGTGAAACAGTGACTCTAATTTAATTGACAACTGAACACAACTGGCAGTTGGGGATGTGTCACAATACAACGTCCCTGACGCGCACAATCAGTAAGTGGAAAAACATGACAAATCTCTCATAAATTATCCCCATGAAAATGTGAACGTTATCCCAGATTTCAAGCTTTGCCTGAGAGGGACAGAATCCAGAAGAGAGTTATCATGCAGTTGGCATCTGTCTATGTAGTTCAGCTTGAGTGAAACAATGCGATAGCTGTATCGCAGATAATCATTGAGGGTGATAGAGAGAAGAGAGAGAGATAGAGGATGGGAGAGATTAAGACATTGAGGATGAGAGTATGGAGAGTGCATTCACCACAAATGTTTGCTTCCATCTTTCCTGATGATCATTCATTGATCTCATGCCCAATTAGAACTCTTCAATGCCATTATTATCACATTATCATTACCAAGAACATTGGTTACTTTCAGTTGGGTGAAACTTTCTATTAGGAAATATCTATGCATCTAGTCTCCATGGTTACGATACATTAATCTAATGATTATAAGTACCCTTTATTACACAGTTTACATGCTAATAGATTTCTGCTCTCAGTAGTGATCAAATATTAAGCTAGCTGTAATCACTAATCCCATCCTGTATTTTTCTAATATTTCCCATAGCTTTAGTTAAATTCCCCAAACCTTCCTATTCTGATGGCAAGTATGTACAACATGCATCTCCCCCTATAATCACATACATTCCCCCTTTATCCACTGTCATAGCGTCCAATGCTATGCGATTATCAATTGTATATTGTTCAATGAGTGACATTTCAGACCCAATTGCTTGAAAATCCAAGACTGTTAATAGTTACCATGTTCAACTCTGTTCAACCCTGACTCTGTTCCCCTAATATGCCTGAGGAGAGATACACAGGATAACACTCTGGTTTCAGTCCCTGTTAAATCAGGATAGCCTTGGGCTAGTTAGGATTGAGGAATTCAACCAAAGGTCAGATCAAATGGAAATAGCATAAACATTCCTATGTCACAAATACCAAGATAGGAACCAATTAAGTTCTTGCCTAGCAACAGAGATATGTACAATTTTTTTACATTTTAGTCATTTAGCAGACACTCTTATCCAGAGCGACTTACAGTTAGTGAGTGCATAAATTTTTCGTACTGGCCCCCCATGGGAATCAAACCCACAACCCTGGCGTTGCAAGCGCCATGCTCTACCAACTGAGCTACAGGAGGCCACTCTAAACATCCACATCAATCCCCCCTCTTTGGGAATACATAGTCTCATATCAATACCTCCAAATACTTCAAATGTATATGGTGACTAAAATGTGAATACTTTAACCTAATAATCAACATGTTCATGATATGAGTTACAATCCTTACATTAACTTACATGTTTCAAACAGTAAGATTCAAAAAATTATACTCAAAATATATCATATAAGTGTATCCTAAGACATTACCATAATGTATCGCTGTTTTAACTATAATACTGTATCTATTTAAGACAGTTATCTCGCATTTTTACAAGCAATACCCTTCCTGCTGAAAATAGTTTCAACATCTTTAGTTACTAATATATACTAATGATTTACTTAAATCACTCAGTCATCTTATAAATTATAACCAACCAAATTACTTATCTCAACCAAATTTAGAATGACAATTCTTAGTGATTCACATTGGTCCTATCACTCAAAATTTAAACCCTCAACTTTAACACCCATTAAAACTGTCAGAATGTACATTTCTGTTAACATACAGTATAAATATCCATAATTCTATTATGACCGTTCTCATCCTGAGAATAACTACAGATCATCATCTCAATGCATTGTTAGTACTATCAATTTAGCAGTGTATATACCTCCTACCCAAACTAATAAATTTAGATAAATCCAAATGTTTTATTATCGACAGATATAACCAACCCCTTCCTTCCCCAGCACTTAAATCTTCTGGCGTCTCTTCATTATGTTCTTCAGACAGCTTCATAGTTCAAAATGCATTGCCCATGACAATGTCCCAACTGAGAAATGTTGTATTCGAACAGATCTTTCTCCATTCTCGCTCAATGGTGGACTCCTGTCCCACTCCCTCAATATAAAAAACATGAGAGAAAATCTGTTGATAGCTTTGATTGGCTGTTGTACACTGGTTGCAGGTAGGTAGAAGTGGTGCTGTACAGGAACGTCTTCAACGCCTCTGATGTTCATCTTCAGCCAGTTCAGAGGTTGTTTCTTTTTTTTAGGTTCACCCCATTCTAGACCAAATTATCCCTGATATGCATCAAGACACCATCTGTATTTACCTCAAGAGAAGACAGAACATAACAGTTTAGTTGAGTTCATTCCTAATCCAAGAAATCCATATTAGCATTGACTATATGACAAATTATTATGTTTAACCAATTATTCTTAATACCAATTTCTAATATACTCCCCAATTTATGTTAGGGAAACCCTCCACAGACAGAGAAATGAATGGTGTGACAGTCAGGTGATTCTTGAAATTCTGGAAGATCTTGAAGTTCTTGGATGTTCTTGCAGGTCTGTCCCTCTGCCAAGGGAATCAGCCAGAACACGTAGCTCATCAGTAGCATTCCCCTTGCCATCGTCTTCCATCACCTGATCCTTGTCAGCTCCAGCATCCTCAGCTCCCTCATCTCTAGATCGTCGGTTTCCTCATAGTAGTCTGTTGCAGTGGTTTACATGATACCAGGTCGATCTCCCCTCTATCCATACATCCGTTGGTGTAGACTGGGTGACGATGTATGGTCCTTTTAGATTTGAAACCACTTCCTTCACTATGGTATAGGATCAAGCAGAGTCCTTCTCCATTTATCAACATCGCTCTGTGGAGTGTGTCCTTCTCGCAGCATACCAATAGGGAATTTGAGAGTCACTGCTGCAAAGAAACACAGACACCAAAAGAAAACAATGCTCCTCAGTGGCGGTGCCATCTTCCTCCTCTGGGTTTGAACACTCCTACAGTGGGACACATAGATGCAGGTGTCTCTCTCTGCTACTTTCCCCTCCATCGATGTAGCCAGCAACACTTAGTACTGACCTCCCCACCTGGGTTTTGTCCATCTCTTACTTCTATAATCCTTTATCGCCAGTCTCCAAGGCGCCTACAATGCCCAGATTCTCCTGTTAGGTTTGGCAGAGAAGCCTTCACCCTTTGGAAGAAAGTCTTAGCAACATTGTTAGGTGCGACACCGTATGCTACTATACCCTGTCTTCTGATCAGTCAAGAGAAGCCTTGATATTAGGAAGTGCACATTTTTGCATCTTGTCAAAGGTCACTAGTTTCATAGACAGGCCTCCTCTACATACTGCCTTATACCACAAATACACTTTCACCTAAAATAAATTATCTAACCCATAACACATGAATTACTACTGCTCATATTCTTAATACAATTTGCATATTTACCAAAAAAACTAATTCGAGCAGTACAGTCGTAGTCAAAAGTTTTGAGAATAACACAAATACTAATTTTCACAAAGTCTGCTGCCTCAGTTTTGATGATGGCAATTTGCATATACTCCAGAATGTCATGAAGAGTGATCAGATGAATTGCAATTAATTGCAAAGTCCCTCTTTGCCATGAAAATGAACTTAATCCCCAAAAACATTTCCACTGCATTTCAGCCCTGCCACAAAAGGACCAGCTGCCATCATGTCAGTGATTCTCTCGTTAACACAGGTGAGAGTGTTGACAAGGACAAAGCTGGAGATCACTCTGTCATGCTGATTGAGTTAGAATAACAGACTGGAAGCTTTAGAAGGAGGGTGGTGCTTGAAATCATTGTTCTTCCTCTGTTAACCATGGTTACCTGCAAGGAAAAACATGTGCCATCATCATTGCTTTGCATAAAAAGGGCTTCACAGGCAAGGATATTGCTGCTAGTAAGATTGCACCTAAATCAACCATTTATCGGATCATCAAGAACTTCAAGGAGAGAGGTTCAATTGTTGTGAAGATGGCGTCAGGGTGCCCAAGAAGGTCCAGCAAGCGCCAAGACCGTCTCCTAAAGTTGATTCAGCTGCGGGATCGGGGCACCACCAGTGCAGCGCTTGCTCAGGAATGGCAGCAGGCAGGTGTGAGTGCATCTGCATGCACAGTGAGGCAAAGACTTTTGGAGAATGGCCTGGTGTCAAGAAGGGCAGCAAAGAAGCCACTTCTCTCCAGGAAAAACATAAAGGACAGACTGATATTCTGCAAAAGATACAGGGATTGGACTGCTGAGGACTGGGGTAAAGTCATTTTCTCTGATGAATCCCCTTTCCGATTGTTTGGGGCATCCAGAAAACACCTTGTCCGGAGAAGACAAGGTGAGTGCTACCATCAGTCCTGTGTCATGCCAACAGTAAAGCATCCTGAGACCATTCATGTGTGGGGTTGCTTCTCAGCCAAGGGAGTGGGCTCACTCACAATTTTGCCTATGAACACAGCCATGAATAAAGAATGGTACCAACACATCCTCCAAGAGCAACTTCTCCCAACCGTCCAAGAACAGTTTGGTGACGACCAATGCCTTTTCCAGCATGATGGAGCACCTTGCCATAAGGCAAAAGTGATAACTAAGTGGCTCGGGGAACAAATCATAGACATTTTGGGTCCATGGCCGGGAAACTCCCCAGACCTTAATCCCATTGAGAACTTGTGGTCGATCCTCAAGAGGCGGGTGGACAAACAAAAACCCACAAATTCTGATAAACTCCAAGCATTGATTATGCAAGAATGGGCTGCCATCAGTCAGGATGTGGCCCAGAAGTTAATTGACAGCATGCCAGGGCGGATTGCAGAGGTCTTGAAAAAGAAGGGTCAACACTGCAAATATTGACTCTTTGCATAAACTTAATGTAATTGTCAATAAGAGCCATTGACACTTCTGGAATGCTTGTAATTATACTTCAGTATAACATAGCAACATCTGACAAAAATATCTCATAACACTGAAGCAGCGAACTTTGTGAAGACCAATACTTGCGTTAAAAAACAAAACAACGACATTGTTTGTTAAAATGACAACTGTTGATAAGACCTTAACTTAATTGTATCCCATAAAGTAATTCAAGTAATATCAACATTGACTAGCGCCAGGTGTTCCTCATTTCGGACTAGCTCTCTCACTCTTACCTTATTATGGTCCGAATCATATATATGACTATTGCCAAATTATAAACTTCTTCACGATTATCAGTATTACAAATTAACTCAACTCAGTATAATAAATTACCTTAAATTCCTCACCCCTCTTTCCAGTATGGGTGATCAATTCACACTAGAAAGTCAGGACAGAGTTCAGAGGTCATTCAAACCCTTCAAAGAAGTGTTCCATTCTATAGTATAAACTAATCATTAACAACAGTCCAAAATGTCATAATTTTTTTTTGCCCAATGGTACAGTAAGTCCTCATTACATTTCTTCTCAAAAGAAATCACGTGTTTACCCAAAACTCACACATAAAACAAAAACTTCAGAAAGATGTGTGTTCCTTTTAAGATGTATCATCTTTGACCCGTTAAAACCCCCTAAAATCAAAATAAAAACCCTATATAACCATTATAACAGGTGGGTTGTGAGTGGTTATCTGAAAAACCATATTGGAAAACAACAAACAAAAATGGCCAGGCCTTATTTAATTCGGTAGCTCCCTCTTATGACCAAATTATAATACTGCCGAATTTTACTAACTGCTCCGCCTATCTCCCAGACTTTTGAAACATCCCACTGAGAGATAAGGAAATCCCCCTTTTCCTGGAAGAGAAAGTATACATTTCGTTAACATTCAATTATAATCTGTGGCCAAGAGAGCGGAGGAGGACAGCGACAGTGCCACTCTGGTGGCACGAAGAGACAGTACACTACACGTCGTAGTCAACGTTCTTTTGAGCCAGGAGGCAGCAGGCAGGGCACTCACGCATCACCCCAGGTATTGAACACCCACACTTGTTCAGAGCCCTCTGTTGCGCACTGTACCCTACCTATCCACTTTCCCGATCACATGGTAGTTCCCCAGTGTAAGGCGCTAGTCGATTCAGGCACAGCTGGGAACTTTATGGACAAGGCATTCGCACGCTGTCAAGGCATTTCATTGGTTCCCCTCTCCATTCCACTCCCCATCAGAGCACTCGATAGTCGACCATTAGGGTCCGGGTTTGTTACGGAAGTCACTATACCGGTCACCATGATAACCCAGGAGACTCATTGTGAGCAAGTAATTTTTTCGATTATTGAATCTCCTGCTTTCCCTGTGGTATTAGGTATCCCTTGGCTAGCACTCCACAACCCCACCTTCTCATGGCCGCAGAGGGCTCTCACGGGGTGGTCGCGTGAATGTCAGGGTAGGTGTCTAGATGCTTCCGTTGGTGCAACCACGGTGGAAAGTCCAGACGGTACCTCCAACATGCGCATTCTCCCCGAATACCTAGATTTGGCGCACGCATATTCCAAGACGCGTGCTACTAAATTACCACCTCATCGGGCGGGGGATTGCGTGATAGACCTTCGGGTAGACGCTGTACCTCCCAGGAGTCATGTGTACCCCCTGTCGCAGGCTGAAACGGAGGCTATGGAAACATACGTCTCTGAGTCCCTGGGCCAGGGGTACATACGTCCCTCTACTTCACCCGCCTCCTCTTTGTGAAGAAGAAAGACGGTGGTCTGCGCCCGTGCATTGATTATCGATCACTGAACAAGGAGACGATTAGATTTAGTTATCCTCTCCCCCTCATTCCTTCAGTGATCGAGTCAATGCATGGGGTGCGCTTCTTCACAAAGCTAGATCTCAGGAGTGCGTACAACCTGGTGCGTGTTCGGAAGGGGGATGAGTGGAAGACGGCATTCAGCACAACCACAGGGCATTATGAATACCTGGTGATGCCCTACGGTTTGATGAATGCTCCATCCGACTTCCAGTCCTTTGTGAACGAGGTGTTTCGGGACATGCCTGGTCGCGGTGTATTGGTCTACATCGATGACATCCTGGTGTATTCCGCTACTCGCGCCGAGCATGTGTCCCTGGTTCGCAAAGTGCTGGCCAGACTGTTGGAAAATGACCTTTATGCCAAGGCAGAGAAGTGTATGTTTTCCAGCAGTCCGTCTCCTTCCTCGGATACCGCATTACCACCTCAGGTGTGGAGATGGAGGGAGATCGCATTTCAGCCATGCGTAATTGGCCGACTCCAACCACGGTTAAGGAGGTGCAGCGATTCCTTGGCTTTGCCAACTACTACCGAAGGTTTATCCGGGGCTTTGGCAAGGTCGCAGCTTCCATCACATCCCTGTTGAAGGGTGGGCCGTCCCGGCTCCGCTGGTCTGCTGAGGCGGATCTGGCCTTCAGGAGACTGCAGGGTCTGTTCACCTCAGCTCCGGTACTGGCCCACCCCGATCCATCACTACCGTTCGTAGTGGAGGTGGATGCGTCTGAGGTAGGGATAGGAGCTGTCCTGTCCCAACGCTCGGGCACGCCACCCAAGCTCCACCCCTGTGCCTTCTTCTTGATGAAGCTCAGCCCGGCAGAGCAGAACTACGATGTTGGTGATCAGGAGCTGTTGGCTGTTGTTCGAGCTTTGGCCGTGTGGAGGCACCCCGAAACACCCTTTCCTTGTCTGGACGGACCACCGTAACCTGGAGTTCATCCGGGCAGCGAGGAGGCTATAGAGCGGGCATTACGCACAGATCCATCTCCGTCCAACTGGACTGCGGTACGTGCCTGCTCTTATCCGTGATCGTCTGATCTTCTGTGCATACACATTACCCTCCTCTGGTCACCCAGGTATCGGTCGTACAGTGCGCTGCTTGAGTGGAAAGTACTGTTGGCCTACCTTGGCTAAGGATGTGAGGGTGTACGTCTCCTCCTGCTCGGTGTGCGCCCAGAGTAAGGCACCTAGGCACCTCCCAGCGGGTAAGCTACAACCGTTACCAGTTCCACAACGACCATAGTCTCACCTTAGCATTGATTTTCTGACTGATCTTCCCCTCTCCCAAGGTAACACCACCATCCTGGTCGTTGTGGACCGCTTCTCCAAGTCCTGCCACCTCCTTCCTCTGCCCGGTCTCCCCACGGCCCTACAGACTGCGGAGGCCCTGTTCACTCACGTCTTCCGGCACTACGGGGTGCCAGAGGATATAGTGTCTGACCGAGGTCCCCAGTTCACATCCAAGGTTTGGAAGGCGTTCATGGAACGTCTGGGGGTCTCGGTCAGGCTGACCTCTGGTTTCCACTCCGAGTCAAATGGGCAGGTGGAACGAGTAAATCAGGATGTGGGTAGGTTCCTGCGGTCCTACTGCCAGGACCGGCCGGGGGAGTGGTCGGTGTTCTTGCCATGGGCAGAATATGCCCAGAACTCTCTCCACCACTCCTCTACTATCCTAACACCATTCCAATGTGTTTTAGGTTACCAACCAGTTCTGGCACCGTGGCAACAGAACCAGACCGAGGCTCCTGCGGTGGATGACTGGTTTCGGCACGCGGAGGAGACGTGGGACGCTACTGTCATGACATCGGCCAAGGCTGCCTCCCCTCCTTGTTCGGGCAGGCTTCGGCGTTCGTCGTCACCGGAGTACTAACCACTGCCGCCCCAATCATCATCACAATTGTCTTGTCAATCACACACACTTGGTTCTAATCCCCTAATTAGTCTGTGTATAACTGTTCCCTCTGCCCCCTTGTCCTTGTGGGTGATTGTTAATTGTGAGAGTATGTCGCTTGGTGGAGCTACTCATATCATTGTGTTGCCAGGGTAGATTTTCCCCCTGTGCCTATGTATTATTGGATTCCGTTACAGTGTAATTGCCAGGGATGTTTGTTTCCCCTGTGCCTGTTTCGTTGATCGCTATTGGAGCGCATTTGTGTGTCAACGAAGGAATAAACTCTGTATTCGGTGATTACCCTCCTGCGCCTGACTCCTTTCACCACACCAGAAGGCAGCTTGGCAAGCCAGGAGATTTGCCCACGGTTATCCCTGTCGTTATATCCATGCCACCTGCTACCAGGGTATGAAGCCTATTCTTGGTGGGTCTCCGTACAGCCATACATAGAGAGAGAGAGAGAGAGAGAGACAGAGAGAGTTGCTCCATTCTGTGAATGTGTGTATTTCGTGCCTGTAGTTGTGTTCTTGATTGCCTGAGATTAATCTGACCATTGTTGTGTCATCTGCAAATTTGATGGTGTAGCAGTCCGGTGCATGGCTTGTACAGTCATTTGTGTACTGCATGTCATATGTCTGTACTGCATGCAATACTTACTCTCAACCTATTGAGGTACATCGACATCTACACCAGCTAGCGCCAAAACTGTTGCGTTGAGGTGCGTCCATCCATCAGACAGACAGACAGACAGACAGAAGAATGTGCTGCAGAGATATACACATACAGTCTAACTCTGCCAGAGGCCACCTCCATTACCCACAATGACTAGCTCAAACAGCCCAGTGGAGCTGCTGACAGATTGGGTCTGTTGAGAAATGCAAGCCAAAGTGTTGTCTTCAATACAAATGGCACACTAGTCCCTATTTAGTTCACACATTTTGACCAGGGCCTATAGGGTTCTGGTCAAAGATAGTGCACTAAATATAGAGTAGGGTGCTATTTGTGATCGTAATGAAAGGGAATTTCTCATATTTGTTACATGAGGGGGCTCATCTCCTCTCTTCTTCTATCTATTGTGGTTATGAGTAGTTATGGGGTCAGCTTCAAAGACTTCAGAGTAACACATGCACAACACACACCCACACACAGAAATATAGACACCCACACACAGACACAGGCACACACACAGAAATATAGACACCCACACCAACAGACACACACACACCTATCCTTTTCAAAATATCCATCTATGAAATGGAAAGAATCTCAGAGAGTCATTACTTCAATTTTCAAATCACACTGTGTGCTTTTTCTAATTTTTCAGCTGACAGGCAGCATTCGATCTCCCTCTATCTAGTTTACATTTTTACATTTTAGTCATTTAGCAGACGCTCTTATCCAGAGCGACTTACAGTTAGTGAGTGCATACATTATATTTTTCATACTAGCCCCCCGTGGGAATCGAACCCACAACCCTCGCGTTGCAAACACCATGCTCTACCAACTGAGCTACATCCCTGCCGGCCATTCCCTCCCCTACCCTGGACCAATTGTGCGCCACCCCATGGGTCTCCCAGTCACGTCCAGCTACAACAGAGCCTGGATTCGAACCAGGATCTCTAGTGGCACAGCTAGCACTGCAATGCAGTGCCTTAGACCACTGAGCCCCTCAGGAGACTAGTTCTGACTTAATATTCCTCTTGACATTATAAAGTATATCAAGTTTCCATAGAAGGAGGGCAACAGCCTTCAAAGTCAAAGTGTTGGCAGTGCTGCTAATTGGACTTCCAGACGGAGTGATAGAGGATGGGCCAAGGATATAAATAACTCCCATATCATCCAGTGGCGGTCGATGCCATTTAAGATGAGGGAGGCCAATTTTCTTTATTAATGAGCATGTCCTTATTTCTATTGCAGCATATTGGATGACTGTCATTCATATTCCATTCACCCAGCTCAATGTAACATCGATAGGTTTAGGCTATTACATGATACTCAAATCTTTCCAATACCCATTATGAGGTTGTGTCACGGTTTCGGCCGAGGCTGCTCCTCCTCCTGGTTCGGGCAGGCTTCGGCGGTCGTCGTCCCCGGAGTACTAGCTGCCACCGATCGATGTTTCATGTTCGTTTGGTTTTGTTTTTATGTTGTACACCTGTGTCTTGTTAGTCCTCGTTAATGTCCTATTTAGTTCTCGTTGGTTGTGTTTGTCTTTGTGTGTGATTGCTCTTCTGTTTTCGTGTTGGAGCTACGTACTTCCCTCCAGTGTTTTGGAGAGGGTTTTCGCACATGTTAGTGCGCCGTTTGTTTGACGCCTGTGTGCGCCGTGATTTAGCCTTCGGGCTTATTGTGCTTCTTTTCTACGTGATTATTGCACTAAAGTCTTTTGGACTGAGCTTCTGTGTCCTGCGCTTGATTCATGCACCACACCCACCTTCAGCACCCCTTGACAGAATCACACACCAGAATGGAATCAGCAGGATCTGCAGTTACGCCTGAGTCGCTCGAGGAGCATGTCCGCGGCCAAGATGACCAGATACGACAACTGGGGACCGCTCTACAGGACGTCATCAACACCTTGCACCGATGGGAGGCCAGCGGGGTACCCACGCCTCCACCTACCCTGCCAACCCCATCGGCCGGTCCACCAGTCCCAGGTCCGGAACCCAGGGGGATTCGGCTCTCGCTCCCGAGGGCGTATGACGGAACAGCTGCCGGGTGTCAGGGGTTCCTCCTGCAGGTGGAGCTCTACCTGGCCACTGTACACCCGGTGCCCTCGGGACACGAGAGCGTTTCCGCCCTCATCTCCTGTCTCACGGGCAAGGCGTTGGAGTGGGCTAACGCCGAGTGGAGGAAGATGGACGCCAACACCATTTCCTACGCCGAGTTCTCCCGTCGCTTCAAGGCCGTGTTCGACCATCCACCTGAGGGCAAAGCGGCGGGGGAGTGTCTAGTCCACTTGAGACAGGGGAGGAGGAGCGCACAGGCGTTTGCTCTAGAGTTCCGGACTCTAGCGGCGGACGCAGGGTGGAATGAACGGGCCCTCATCGACCATTTTCGATGTAGCCTACGGGAGGACGTTCAACGTGAGTTGGCCTGCAGGGATACCCATCTTACCTTCGACCAGTTGGTCGATATGTCCATCCGTCTGGACACCCTGCTGGCCACCCGTGGACGTCCCGAGGGGGGTCCGTCCATTCCGCCCTCCGGCACCTCCGAGCCGAGCCCTATGGAGCTCGGGGGTGCCGGCGCTAGAGAAAGGAGGAGGAGGTGCCCGAGGGGGCCTGTCTCCTGCACCAAGTGCGGTCGTGGAGGGCACACTGCGGCCAGGTGCTGGGGAGGGTTCTCCGGGGGAGAAGACAACAGGCCACGCACTGGGGGGGCCTCCCAGGTGAGTAGACGTCCCACTTACCCAGAGCTTTCTGTTGCGCACTTTTGTATACCTGTTTGTTTTCCACAGGTTGCACCTCATTCCCAGCATAAGGCGCTAGTAAATTCAGGCGCAGCTGGGAATTTTGTTGATCGGAAGTTTTGTGTAGATTTAGGGATCCCTCTCCTACCTGTTGACAAACCTTTTCCCGTTCATGCCTTAGATAGCCGCCCGTTGGGGTCGGGGTTGATTAGGGAGATCACAGCACCACTTAGGATGTGTGCGCAGGGGGGTCATGAAGAGACTATACAGCTGTATCTGATCGACTCTCCTGCGTACCCAGTGGTGCTGGGAATTCCCTGGTTAAGCACCCATAACCCTGCTATTTCGTGGCAACAGAGGGCTCTCGATGGGTGGTCTGCTCAGTGCGAGGGGCGATGTCTGGGTGTTTCCGTGGGGGCGACTTCGGTGGAAAGTCCAAACCAAGTGCCCGCACTGCACATTCCGCCTGAATATGGGGATTTAGCTCTCGTGTTTAGCAAGACTAGGGCGACGCAGTTGCCTCCTCATAGACAGGGGGATTGTGTGATTGATCTCCAGGCAGGAGCAGCGCTCCCACGGAGCCATGTGTATCCTTTGTCTCAAGAGGAGAGAAAAGCTATGGAGACTTACATAGCCGAATCTTTGAGACAGGGATACATTCGGCCCTCCACTTCTCCCGCCTCCTCAAGCTTCTTTTTTGTGAAAAAGAAAGATGGAAGGTTGCGCCCGTGCATTGATTACCGTGGTCTCAATCAGATTACTGTGAAATACAGTTATCCACTCCCTCTGATTGCGACCATGACGGAGTCATTGCATGGAGCGCGGTTTTTCACAAAACTGGATCTCAGGAGCGCGTATAACTTGGTGCGCATTAGGGAGGGCGACGAATGGAAGACAGCGTTTAGTACCACGTCAGGTCATTTCGAGTATCTTGTCATGCCATATGGGTTGATGAATGCTCCATCAGTCTTCCAATCCTTCGTAGATGACATTTTCCGGGATATGCAGGGACAAGGGGTGGTCGTGTACATTGATGATATTCTGGTGTACTCGTCTACCCGAGCCGAGCATGTAACCCTGGTGCGTCGTGTATTGAGGAGGCTGTTGGAGCACGACCTATATGTCAAGGCAGAGAAATGTCTGTTTTTCCAGGAGTCGGTCTCCTTTTTGGGTTATCGGTTGGCCGCGTCAGGGGTGAGAATGGAGGTGGATCGTGTGTCCGCTGTGCGTAATTGGCAAACCCCAACCACTGTAAAGGAGGTGCAGCAGTTCTTGGGCTTTGCGAATTACTACCGGAGGTTTATCCGGGGTTTTGGACAGGTGGCAGCTCCCATCACGTCCCTTCTGAAAGGGGGTCCGGTGCGCCTGCAGTGGTCAGCTGATGCGGACAGGGCCTTTGGGAGACTGAAGGACCTGTTTACGTCGGCTCCGGTGCTGGCGCATCCGGATCCCGCATTACACTTTCAGGTTGAGGTGGACGCGTCTGAGGCAGGTATAGGGGCCGTTCTCTCTCAACGGTCCGGCTCGCCACCTAAACTCCGCCCCTGTGCCTTTTACTCTAAAAAGCTCAGCCCGGCGGAGCGTAACTATGACGTTGGGGACAGGGAGCTGTTAGCTGTAGTTCAAGCCCTTAAGGTGTGGAGGCATTGGCTTGAGGGGGCTCAACACCCTTTCCTCATTTTGACTGACCATCAGAACCTGGAGTACATCCGGGCAGCGAGGAGACTGAACCCTCGCCAGGCTCGATGGAGTATGTTTCTCACCAGGTTCGTATTTAAAATCACGTACATCCCTGGGTCCCAGAATGGTAAGGCAGATGCACTGTCCCGGCGGTATGACACGGAGGAGAGGTCCGTTGAGCCTACTCCCATACTACCGGAGTCTTGCCTTGTGGCACCGGTGGTGTGGGAGGTCGATGCCGAAATCGAGCGAGCGTTGCGTACCGACCCCAGCCCTCCACAGTGTCCTGAGGGTCGGAAGTACGTTCCGCTCGAGATTCGGGATCGACTCATTTACTGGGCTCACACGTCACCCTCCTCTGGACATCCGGGTATTGGCCGGACAGTGCATTGCCTTAGCACTAAATACTGGTGGCCTACTTTGGCTAGGGATGTGAGGGTTTATGTCTCCTCCTGCTTGGTGTGCGCCCAGTGTAAGGCGCCCCGACATTACATTTACATATTACATTTTAGTCATTTAGCAGACGCTCTTATCCAGAGCGACTTACAGGAGCAATTAGGGTTAAGTGCCTTGCTCAAGGGCACATTTACGTCATTTAGCAGACGCTCTTATCCAGAGCGACTACAAATTGGTGCATTCACCCTATAGCCAGTGGGATAACCACTTTACAATTAATCTGCCCAGGGGTAAGTTACAACCCCTGCCCGTTCCACAACGACCATGGTCCCACCTCTCGGTGGATTTTGTGACAGACCTTCCCCTCTCTCAGGGGAATACCACCATCCTGGTCGTTGTGGACCGGTTCTCAAAGGCCTGTCGTCTTCTCCCTATGTCGGGTCTTCCTACTGCCCTACAGACCACTGAGGCCCTATTTACCCACGTCTTCCGGCATTACGGGGTACCCGAGGATATAGTGTCTGATCGAGGCCCCCAGTTTACCTCCCGTGTTTGGAGAGCGTTTATGGAGCGTTTGGGGGTCTCGGTTAGCCTTACCTCAGGGTACCACCCGGAGAGTAACGGGCAGGTAGAACGTGTCAACCAGGATGTGGGTAGGTTTCTGAGGTCGTATTGCCAGGACCGGCCTGAGGAGTGGGCGCGTTACATTCCCTGGGCCGAGATGGCCCAGAATTCTCTCCGCCACTCCTCTACCAACCTAACCCCTTTCCAATGTGTATTAGGTTACCAGCCGGTTCTGGCACCGTGGCAGCAGAGCCAGATCGAGGCCCCTGCGGTGGATGATTGGATGAGGCGCTCGGAAGAGACGTGGAACGCTGCCCACGTCCACCTGCAGCGGGCCGTCCGTCGTCACAAAGCGAGCGCCGATCTCCACCGCAGTGAGGGGCCGGTGTACGCACCCGGAGATCGAGTCTGGCTCTCTACCAGAAACCTACCCCTCCGCCTGCCCTGCCGGAAGCTGGGTCGGCGGTTTGTGGGGCCCTTTAAAGTCCTGAGAAGATTGAACGAGGTGTGTTATAAGTTACATCTACCTGTTGAATATAAGAATATTAACCCCTCGTTCCATGTGTCTCTTCTCAGGCCGGTGGTAGCTGGTCCACTCCAGGACAATGAGATAGGAGAGACTCCTCCGCCCCCACCGGACATCGAGGGGGCTCCGGCGTACACCGTTCGGTCCATCTTGGACTCCAGACGCCGGATGGGGGGTCTCCAGTATCTCGTGGAGTGGGAGGGGTACGGCCCGGAGGAGCGGTGCTGGGTGCCGCGGAGGGACATCCTAGACCCATCTCTCCTGTCGGAGTTCCACCGGGACCATCCCGCGCGCCCTGCTCCGCGTCCTCCTGGTCGTCCCCGAGGCCGGGGTCGGCGCACGGCTCCAAGGGGGGGGGTACTGTCACGGTTTCGGCCGAGGCTGCTCCTCCTCCTGGTTCGGGCAGGCTTCGGCGGTCGTCGTCCCCGGAGTACTAGCTGCCACCGATCGATGTTTCATGTTCGTTTGTTTTTGTTTTTATGTTGTACACCTGTGTCTTGTTAGTCCTCGTTAATGTCCTATTTAGTTCTCGTTGGTTGTGTTTGTCTTTGTGTGTGATTGTTCTTCTGTTTTCGTGTTGGAGCTACGTACTTCCCTCCAGTGTTTTGGAGAGGGTTTTCGCACATGTTAGTGCGCCGTTTGTTTGACGCCTGTGTGCGCCGTGATTTAGCCTTCTGGCTTATTGTGCTTCTTTTCTATGTGATTATTGCACTAAAGTCTTTTGGACTGAGCTTCTGCGTCCTGCGCTTGATTCATGCACCACACCCACCTTCAGCACCCCTTGACAGGTTGCTACAACCTAGCCTATGAATGAAGGTTTACAATGTAGGTGCACACAGGTCGAGAGAAAAATTTGTGGTGACAGACAGTGACAGATTCAATACCGCCTTGCACACTCTTGTCTGCATCTAGCTGATCTAGGGTGTAATCATTAGTCCAACAGTTGCAAACGACAGTTTCTATTGGACAAATTCAGGCATGTTTATCTGTTAGATTAATTTGGATTTTAAGAATAATGACTAAAGGGTTTCACCCCAAACACAGTATAAATGTTAGAATTATCATGTAGTGTCAACCCACTAACAGAGGGGGCGGTACTAACCATTCAAGGGGGAAGGCGGAAACTATTTAGAAAAGTCACCTAAAGGTGGGAGGAGTCAAGTCCAGGAGGTATAAAATCGTCTGTTTGTGTCATTTGCAGGAGAGTTCTCGCCATGAATAAAAATACAGATAAGACTTGTGAGTTGTGGACCTTGAATCATTGATGATTAAAACCAGAGCTTTACAACCTCTGGTAATGATTCAAGCTTAGGTTGAATTAGAGATAGAAATTCACATGACAGATTGGTCCTTCGAAGCGGAGCTTAATACATCTTAATCGTTCTAAAGACACCGAAATCCGTGCACGGGCGGGTGATAGCATCCGTAAAAGAGTCCTGGCCTTCGACGTTAAGGTTATAAAAAGGCCGGTGATTAATCTTTATGAACGATAAAGACGTTAACAAGTTTGAAAAAGCATTTTAATCCAGACTGCGAGGAAAAGGTCAGTAATTTTTATTCATGGATTTTGGTAAAATGAGTTGAACTTAGTTACCAAAGTCTCAAAGGAAGTAATAATTATTACGAAACAGGGAGGTTCCGCAATTGACCCTAGGTAAATAGCTATTACCAGAATAATCTAGTCCGAAATGACATGGGGTGAAGGCCATCACCAATGTAATCTAGTTTTTTATTGAGACTGTATTGGGTACAGTACTACGATAAACAGGGAAAGGGATGATTTTCGTCGTGTGCTATGGATGGACGGGTCAAAAGTCGCGTATACGGCTGGGGATTTGCTAGAACTTTGTGTGTTTCATGAAACTAGAGCAGTTACGACCTCTAGGTTACAAATAGGTTTAGCAAATGATTGTATAATGTTGTGTACGTGTGAGACTTAAGAATCCATCAGTATACGTGATAATTATTTCTAGGAAGGAGCTAAAAAAACAGGTCGCGTGAGAAAAAATGGTTATCGACCCCTTTCATGAAACCGGAGTTTTAAATAAAAGCTCTGGGTTAGGGGTTAAATAATTTTAAATGGTTAATTACAAAAGCAAATCATACGTTGGCTCAAAAGACGCACTAAAATAATAGCTCCTAGAATAATAATTCTGGGAATTATTACCAAAGGGGGGATTTTTTTTTCTCCACCGTGGGATATAAAACTTATAAGGAGATCGAAGAAATATGTGTTATGGATCCATTTGGGAGAAGAGGTATGAATTTATTGGGCATCTCGAAGTAGAAAGTTAGTAGGCAGATGCATATCAAATGAATTTGAAAAAAAAACAGCGAAAGGAGGGGCTGGAGACAGCGAGTGTGTTTTTTTAAGCGCGAAACTGCTTTAACGGTAAACAAAGGAATATTTACATTTTACATTTTACATTTTAGTCATTTAGCAGACGCTCTTATCCAGAGCGACTTACAGGAGCAATTAGGGTTAAGTGCCTTGCTCAAGGGCACATTTACGTCATTTAGCAGACGCTCTTATCCAGAGCGACTACAAATTGGTGCATGCACCCTATAGCCAGTGGGATAACCACTTTACAATTATACTTTTTAGAAGGATTACTTCATCCTATCCCAGGTGTTCCTTAAAGAGGTGGGGTTTCAAATGTCTCCGGAAGGTGGTGAGTGACTCCGCTGTCCTGGCGTCGTGAGGGAGCTTGTTCCACCATTGGGGTGCCAGAGCAGCGAACAGTTTTGACTGGGCTGAGCGGGAACTATGCTTCCGCAGAGGAAGGGGAGCCAGCAGGCCAGAGGTGGATGAACGCAATGCCCTCGCCTGGGTGTAGGGACTGATCAGAGCCTGAAGGTACGGAGGTGCCGTTCCCCTCACTGCTCCATAGGCAAGCACCATGGTCTTGTAACGGATGCGAGCTTCAACTGGAAGCCAGTGGAGTGTGCGGAGGAGGGGGGTGATGTGAGAGAACTTGGGAAGGTTGAACACCAGACGGGCTGCGGCATTCTGGATGAGTTGTAGGGGTTTAATGGCACAGGCAGGGAGCCCAGCCAACAGCGAGTTGCAGTAATCCAGACGGGAGATGACAAGTGACTGGATTAGGACCTGTGCCGCTTCCTGTGTAAGGCAGGGTCGTACTCTCCGAATGTTGTAGAGCATGAACCTGCAGGATCGGGTCACCGCCTTGATGTTGGCGGAGAACGACAGGGTGTTGTCCAGGGTCACGCCAAGGCTCTTCGCACTCTGGGAGGAGGACACAACGGAGTTGTCAACCGTGATGGCGAGATCATGGAACGGGCAGTCCTTCCCCGGGAGGAAGAGCAGCTCCGTCTTGCCAGGGTTCAGCTTGAGGTGGTGATCCGTCATCCATACTGATATGTCGGCCAGACATGCAGAGATGCGATTCGCCACCTGGTTATCAGAAGGGGGAAAGGAGAAGATTAGTTGTGTATCGTCAGCGTAGCAATGATAGGAGAGGCCATGTGAGGATATGACAGAGCCAAGTGACTTGGTGTATAGGGAGAAAAGGAGAGGGCCTAGAACTGAGCCCTGGGGGACACCAGTGGTGAGAGCACGTGGTGCGGAGACAGCTTCTCGCCACGCCACTTGGTAGGAGCGACCGGTCAGGTAGGACGCAATCCAGGAGTGAGCCGCGCCGGAGATGCCCAGCTCGGAGAGGGTGGAGAGGAGGATCTGATGGTTCACTGTATCAAAGGCAGCAGACAGGTCTAGAAGGACAAGAGCAGAGGAGAGAGAGTTAGCTTTAGCAGTGCGGAGAGCCTCCGTGACACAGAGAAGAGCAGTCTCAGTTGAATGAGCAGTCCTGAAACCTGACTGGTTTGGATCAAGAAGGTCATTCTGAGAGAGATAGCAAGAGAGTTGGCTAAAGACGGCACGCTCAATAGTTTTGGAAAGAAAAGAAAGAAGGGATACTGGTCTGTAGTTGTTGACATCAGTGGGATCGAGTGTTGGTTTTTTGAGAAGGGGTGCAACTCTCTCTCTCTTGAAGACGGAAGGGACATGGCCACCGGTCAAGGATGAGTTGATCAGCGAGGTGAGGTAGGGGAGAAGGTCACCGGAGATGGTCTGGAGAAGAGAGGAGGGGATGGGGTCAAGCGGGCAGGTTGTTGGGCGGCCTGCAGTCACTAGTCGCAAGATTTTATCTGGAGAGAGAGGGGAGAAAGAAGTCAAAGCATAGGGTAGGGCAGTGTGAGCAGGACCAGCAGTGTCATTAGACTTAACAAACGAGGATCGGATGTCGTCAACCTTCTTTTCAAAGTGGTTGACAAAGTCATCCACAGAGAGGGAGGAGGGGGGGGGGGGATTCAGCAGTGAGGAGAATGTGGCAAAGAGCTTCCTAGGGTTAGAGGCAGATGCTTGGAATTTAGAGTGGTAGAAAGTGGCCTTAGCAGCAGAAACAGATGAAGAAAATGTAGAGAGGAGGGAGTGAAAAGATGCCAGGTCGGCAGGGAGTTTAGTTTTCTTCCATTTCCGCTCAGCTGCCCGGAGCTCTGTTCTGTGAGTTCGCAATGAGTCATCAAGCCACAGAGCTGGAGGGGAGGACCGAGCCGGCCGGGAGGATAGGGGACACAGGGAGTCAAAGGATGCAGAAAGGGAGGAGAGGAGGGTTGAGGAGGCAGAATCAGGAGATTGGAGGGAGAAGGATTGAGCAGAGGGAAGAGATGATAGGATGGAAGAGGAGAGAGTAGTGGGAGAGAGAGAGCGAAGGTTGCGGCGGCGCGTTACCATCTGTGTAGGGGCAGAGTGAGTAGTGTTGGAGGAGAGCGAGAGAGAAAAGGATACAAAGTAGTGGTCGGAGACATGGAGGGGAGTTGCAGTGAGATTAGTAGAAGAGCAACATCTAGTAAAGATGAAGTCAAGCGTATTGCCTGCCTTGTGAGTGGGGGGGGATGGTGAGAGGGTGAGGTCAAAAGAGGAGAGGAGTGGAAAGAAGGAGGCAGAGAGAAATGAGTCAAATGTAGACGTGGGGAGGTTGAAATCCCCCAAGACTGTGAAGGGTGAGCCATCCTCAGGAAAGGAACTTATCAAGGCGTCAAGCTCATTGATGAACTCTCCAAGGGAACCTGGAGGGCGATAGATGACAAGGATATTAAGCTTAAATGGGCTAGTGACTGTGACAGCGTGGAATTCAAATGAGGAGATAGACAGATGGGTTAGGGGAAAAATTGAGAATGACCACTTGGGAGAGATGAGGATTCCTGTGCCACCACCCCTCTGACCAGATGCTCTCGGGGTATGCGAGAACACATGGTCAGACGAGGAGAGAGCAGTAGGAGTAGCAGTGTTTTCAGTGGTAATCCATGTTTCCGTCAGTGCCAGGAAGTCGAGGGACTGGAGGGTGGCATAGGCTGGGATGAAGTCAGCCTTGTTGGCGGCAGAACGGCAGTTCCAGAGGCTGCCTGAGACCTGGAACTCCAGGTGTGTGGTGCGTGCAGGGACCACCAGGTTAGAGAGGCAGCAGCCACGCGGTGTGAGGCGTTTGTGTAGCCTGTGCGGAGAGGAGAGAACAGGGATAGGCAGAGGCATAGTTGACAGGCTGCAGCAGATGGCTACAATAATGCAGAGGAGATCGGGATGAAATGAACTAAACATCAGGGAAAAGAGAGAGCAGGCCTCCCTCACCAAAAAATATATATATATATATAACTCTCCCAACTTCCACCTCAGAAACTATAATTGTTTCACTGAACCACCCGAGTAAAACTCTCCCAACTTCCACTTTAGAAATTAGAATTGTTGTAAACTACAGCAGACTGTTATCAGTAGCTGTAATTAAGTACAGCAGCTACCAAGCACCTAACGTTATTGCCTCGGATGAGGTTAGAAAAACAGCTGAATGGTAGCAGCTAGCTGGCTCAATCACAGGTACTCTTAAGCATGAAATAACATTGGAAACAATTAACCATAGTTGCAAAAAGTTACCAGTAGCTACCCGCTAGCTAGCTAGCTTTGTTGGTCCAAGTAGTGGGTAGGCTAGCCTCGTGCTTCGCCGGAGTCCGCCGAATACAGTCCTTACCTACAATAATTACCTACAATAACCTTCAATAACTACCTGAGTAAGCTACCTATAATACCAAACTACAATACCTACCTACAATCTAAATACATGGTTTAAGCTTAACTCAACACCATATAAGAAGCCAAGCTTACCTTTCATAACGCAGCAACGATTAAACGTTGGGTAGCTATCACAAAGATATTGTATTTAGCTACCACAGCCTGCTGGTAGTGTTGGCTGGCTAGCAATGGCTACTGTGTTGACTTTGTTTGAAAAACGGCGTTGCTGCGAACGAATGTAGCTGGCTAAAAGAATATTGTTTTTAGTTGCAACCGTTGCTAATAGCAACTCGCCAGCTAATCCAGGAGGTGAGTTAGCTAGCTAGCTTCGTGCTACATCCGGCACCGCCGAATACAAAAGTAACCTACAATAACTACACAACAGCTACCCACAACAGCCCACGATGCCTACCTATACTACTTAATAATATACAGCCCACGATGCCTACCTATAGTACCTAACTACAATCTAAATACATAGTTTAAGCCTTACTCGACAAAGCCCAAGCTATGTATAAAGCCAAACTGGCAGACTGCAATCAGTAGCCGAAATTAAGTACAGCAGCTACCAACCACCTAACGTTAATGATAATGAGGTTAGAAAAACAGCTGAAGGTGGCAGCTAGCTGGCTCAATTACAGGTACTCTTAAGCGTGAAATAACATTGGAAACAGCTAACCACAGTTGCTAAAAGTTACCGGTACCTACCCGCTAGCTAGCTAGCTTTGTTGGTCCAAGTAGTGGGTAGGCTAGCCTCGTGCTTCGCCGGAGTCCGCCGAATACAGTCCTTACCTACAATAATTACCTACAATAACCTTCAATAACTACCTGAGTAAACTACCTATAATACCTAACTACAATACCTACCTACAATCTAAATACATGGCTAAAGCTTTACTCAACACCATATAAGAAGCCAAGCTTACCTCCTGCTAGAGAAAACACAACCTCTCCCGTCAGCATCCCAGTCTGTTACCATCGTGACTGCATGGGTAAAGAAAAGGAGGAGGACAGTCAATTTTTGGTTCAACGGGTAAAATGTTTGAAAAAATGATTAGTGTCAATTAAGAATTGGCTAAAAACACCACAAAGCGATTATTTGAGAGGTACCTATAAAGTCCAACGATGCTTGTGGTCCTCTGTAGCTCAGCTGGTAGAGCACGGCGCTTGTAACGCCAAGGTAGTGGTTTCGATCCCCGGGACCACCCATATACAAAAATGTATGCACGCATGACTGTAAGTCGCTTTGGATAGGAGCGTCTGCTAGATGGCATATTATGTGTATGAACTTTCGCACTCAAACGTAGACGTGAGAAAGTAGAGAATATTTGCATTTTTGGTCAGTTGGCGGACGCTCTGGTCCAGAGCGACTTGAAAAACCAATAGAGAGTTGCATTGAACTATTCTGTCGTGTTGGGCATTTGAATGGCATAAGGTGAAATATGTGTGTATGAGGGAATTCAACGGCGGGTATGAATGATAACCGGATACTACTTAGTATTTGGTTGGTTAAATGCTGAATAAAAGATTTGAGGCGTGGTTATGGGGTAACTAGGAAGACGCACTTATTCAATAGAGAATGGGTGGAGAGAGAGAGTTTTTTTTACGTGTATTAAAAGTTGCATTAGATAGCTTTAGTAATATTCTAGATTTGTCTATGAAAATACGTTATAAGTACGAATGACATTATTTCCTAAGAAGGAAGATTGTAGGGAAGTTTCCCGCGCCTCCCTCATAATGTAGGCAGGAGCAGGAGAGGGGGGGGGGGGGGGGGGGGGGGGGGGGGTGAGAGACAGTGAATAAGTTCAGATGGTAGGAATGTCATGTATGCTGATCAACGATATCAAGCATTTGTTTTATTGATTGGGGCCGAATCAGAGAGAACTGTTAAAGATATTGAATAGCGAACTGAAATGGGTTAGCGGGAAAATACAAATAGTTGGAACATTGTAAAACGATAATTTATTTTCGTTACAGGGAAGCAAGTGGCATTGGCTGTTGTGCTGGGGGAATAGCTCCAGCCTGTGGTGGGTTCTGGATTTGTTATAAATAACTTTATATTTTAAACTAAAGTGATGGAATAGACTACAATTATAACATCAGAAAAAGGACAATATACAGTGGGGAAAAAAGTATTTAGTCAGCCACCAATTGTGCAAGTTCTCCCACTTAAAAAGATGAGAGAGGCCTGTAATTTTCATCATAGGTACACGTCAACTATGACAGACAAAATGAGGGAAAAAAATCCAGAAAATCACATTGTAGGATTTGTTATGAATTTATTTGCAAATTATGGTGGAAAATAAGTATTTGGTCAATAACAAAAGTTTCTCAATACTTTTTTATATACCCTTTGTTGGCAATGACACAGGTCAAAAGTTTTCTGTAAGTCTTCACAAGGTTTTCACACACTGTTGCTGGTATTTTGGCCCATTCCTCCATGTAGATCTCCTCTAGAGCAGTGATGTTTTGGGGCTGTCGCTGGGCAACACAGACTTTCAACTCCCTCCAAAGATTTTCTATGGGGTTGAGATCTGGAGACTGGCTAGGCCACTCCAGGACCTTGAAATGCTTCTTACGAAGCCACTCCTTCGTTGCCCGGGCGGTGTGTTTGGGATCATTGTCATGCTGTAAGACCCAGCCACGTTTCATCTTCAATGCCCTTGCTGATGGAAGGAGGTTTTCACTCAAAATCTGACGATACATGGCCCCATTCATTCTTTCCTTTACACGGATCAGTCGTCCTGGTCCCTTTGCAGAAAAACAGCCCCAAAACATGATGTTTCCACCCCCATGCTTCACAGTAGGTATGGTGTTCTTTGGATGCAACTCAGCATTCTTTGTCCTCCAAACACGACGAGTTGAGTTTTTACCAAAAAGTTCTATTTTGGTTTCATCTGACCATATGACATTCTCCCAATCCTCTTCTGGATCATCCAAATGCACTCTAGCAAACTTCAGACGGGCCTGGACATGCACTGGCTTAAGTAAGGGGACACGTCTGGCACTGCAGGATTTAAGTCCCTGGCGGCGTAGTGTGTTACTGATGGTAGGCTTTGTTACTTTGGTCCCAGCTCTCTGCAGGTCTTTCACTAGGTTCCCCCGTGTGGTTCTGGGATTTTTGCTCACCGTTCTTGTGATAATTTTGACCCCACGGGGTGAGATCTTGCGTGGAGCCCCAGATCGAGGGAGATTATCAGTGGTCTTGTATGTCTTCCATTTCCTAATAATTGCTCCCACAGTTGATTTCTTCAAACCAAGCTGCTTACCTATTGCAGATTCAGTCTTTCCAGCCTGGTGCAGGTCTACAATTTTGTTTCTGGTGTCCTTTGACAGCTCTTTGGTCTTGGCCATAGTGGAGTTTGGAGTGTGACTGTTTGAGGTTGTGGACAGGTGTCTTTTATACTGATAACAAGTTCAAACAGGTGCCATTAATACAGGTAACGAGTGGAGGACAGAGGAGCCTCTTAAAGAAGAAGTTACAGGTCTGTGAGAGCCAGAAATCTTGCTTGTTTGTAGGTGACCAAATACTTATTTTCCACCATAATTTGCAAATAAATGTATAAAAAATCCTACAATGTGATTTTCTGGAAATTTTTTCCTCATTTTGTTTGTCATAGTTGACGTGTACCTATGATGAAAATTACAGGCCTCTCTCATCTTTTTAAGAGGGAGAACTTGCACAATTGGTGGCTGACTAAATACTTTTTTTCCCCACTGTAATTCGTAATAGTTATTATAATTATTATTGATAGTTATTGCAGTTATTATTATCCTGAGTGGCGCAGTGGTCTAAGGCACTGCATCGCAGGGCTAACTGTGCCACTAGAGATCCTGGTTCGGATCCAGGCTCTGTCGCAGCCGGCAGCGACCGGGAGACTCATGGGCGGCGCACAATTGGCCCAGCGTCGTCCAGGGTAGGGGGGAAAATGGCCGGCAGGGATGTAGCTCAGTTGATAGAGCATGGTGTTTGCAACGCCAGGGTTATGGGTTCGATTCCCACGGGGGGAGGCCAGTAGGAAAAAAAAATAGAATAATAAAAAGAATAATATGTATTCACTAACTGTAGGTCGCTCTGGATAGGAGCGTCTGCTGGGTGACTAGAATGTAAATGTATTATCATTGATTCAGTAATGATGGGAGGGTAAAGAGGAAGATGAGGCATGACTAGAGCAAGGGAAAGATAGTAAGACAGATAGTGAAGGAGCGGGGAGGGAAAACCATGCTATTGGTATAGCCAGGATCTGCTAAGAGGGGGACTCACAGACATACCGAAATCACTAATGGACCTAAGTAATGAGTTAGTGATTGGATCAACCAAGATGACTTACACTGTACATTATGGTGTAATGAGCACCCAGGTCCTAACCCAGATTATGAGGAAGAATTGTTAAAAACCACAGAAAAAACAATTGGGTTAAAATGGGTTCACTATGATAAAAAACGGGCAGCTGTAGATGTGGAGTTAGGACCACAAAGCCAGAGACTGTACAGAGAAAGGTGGAGCCCCCATGTTTCCCTAGTGAAAGAACCTTCAGAGGAATGGTTATCACTCGGTAAATGGATAAAACAGGGGAAAAACATCACTGACTGGCAAAATACACCAAATGGGGATCAGTATAGCCACTCCACGGGGAGAGATAGAAGAAAATTGAATTGGAGAGCAAAAACCCAGCCCGGGGTCCACCTGGAGACAAATTTTAACGGATGACAGGAAGAGATTTTCTTAACTCAGGAACAGGAGGATGAGTTGGCAGCAATTCCGTTCAAATTATGGTCACAAGGACCAGCCGATGTGGGACTAATTAAGGGGGTAGCTCCAGTACAAGTGATTCCTCGATCCGATCATAGACCATACCAAAAGCAATACCAATTGAAACCAGAAAACTCCTATTTTACAGTGATAGATTTAGCTAATGCTTTCTTTAGTATCCCAGTTCATCCGGATAGTCAGGGGTGGTTTGGCTTTACTTTTCAGGGAAGGAAATGGACATACGCTAGGATGCCTCAAGGCTACTCGGAAAGTCCTACAATCTTTGCCCAGGCTATAACTAGGAATTTGGGAAAGTTTGAACCTCAGGAGGGAAGCCAAATGTTAGTTTATGTAGATTATATTCGATTGGCTAATCCCACTCAGGAGGGATGTAAGAGGGATACAATCCAATTGTTAACCTTCCTAGCAGAACAGGGACATAAAGTAAGCAAAAAGAAACTTCAACTTTGGCAGAGCGAGGTGATTTACCTAGGACACGTTATAACTCAGGAAGGGCGAATGTTAAACTCATCCAGGAAAACTGCTATACTTGAAGCGCCAAAACCATTGAAAAAAAAACAAATGATGAGCTTTTTGGGGATGATAAACTGCTGTAAAGCTTGGGTACTCAATTATGTACTGCATACGGGTAAATTAAGTGATCTTATCTATGGGAAGGCAATGGCAGCCCATGATAAAATCATTTGGAACTCTGAGGAGGAAGAACAGTTTATGTTGTTGCTCTCTTCCCAAACAGTCTTAGCTTTTCATACATATATCAGGGATGTTACCCAAATGGTAGATGGAGGGATATGACATTGGTCATGATTTAAAGATGAGTTTTTTTTTTGGTGGGCTATTAGAGATAACTGGGTTAATCACGAACATAGAGGTTTTTATTCTTTGTTGCTAGGCAGAACACTTAAGTGACCTAAATATGGACTTGTCATGTCCAACAATCAGTCTTCAGGTCAAGCCCGGGAGAGCCGGGATAGAACAGAGGTTGAACTAAAGATAAGTGTTTTTACAAGATAAGAGATTGTTTGATTGGATTGCTAATTGATTCTGAACTGAATGAAAGTCGAATTTAGCCGCCATAAAGACAAAGGAAGTGGGAGGAGCAATAAAGAAGCAAAAGACAATCTCAAAAATGAAAGGCATAGCAATTGGTTGATAAATAACCTAAGGGAATGGTTAGGAAGGTGGAAAAAATTGACACATAAGCAGAACTATGTGTCAAGAGGGGGGAAGAGGCTAATTGTATTAGATAATATACGAAGGAGAGGACAAAATACTTTAAAAAAAAAACATTTTTTAGATAGTCTAAAAAGAGAATGCAGTCAGAAATTGTTACATTAATCTGAACATGTGTGAAGATAGTTTATTAACCACACCCGTATGTCAGAGGTTTTGTGCCCCACAGGTGAACTAAGGAGAAGGTGACCCACTATCTAACCAGGTGACTGGTGAGCATCCAGTCACTAGAAGGAAAACTGGAAGCAGGCCTGTTGGGAAGGGCCCTATCAGGTTATGTTGGTAACCACCTTGGCCATTAGAATAGCAGAGAGAGGAACCTGGGTCCATGTTACCCACTGCAAGAAGGTAGGACCACATACAAGCACCGCTTAGCACACGCAGAGTTGACGAGCGGAACTGTGCCACAGGGTGCGGGGGTCATCTCTGTCAACGAAGATCTCCTACCCAGACCTATCATCACTGTAGTGTGTTCCTAGGGTGTGAGTATGGGGTGGTACCGAGCAGAAGGACTCAAGACAGAAGAGGGTTGAGGGTTTTTGGGAATATGGGTGACCCTGAGCTGCATCATAGTCTCGGCAATAGTCGTGGTAGGTCAAAATCCACCACCACCTCGCACCAATTACGCTATGGCCTTACCATTATTAAGAAATAAAGGGAAAGCGACCCGACATACTGACCATCAAGGGCGAGTGATCTACAAAATAGGAGTCAGAGAAGGGTGGGGAGTAAGATTCAAAATTATGATTAGGGATCTTATCAGAGTGGATAAGCAAGCAACATGGGATTATAAGATCCCGTTGTATTTATGTTCAGCCCCCTCAGCGGATTGTTCCTGGGCTCAGGTATTTAGACATACTGGGGGAAGGAGATATGAGATGGGGGGGGGGGGTGCTGGACGTCAAGATGGAGGATAAGAAGGTATAACGACATCCCCACGGAAATGGTAGTAACAATAGTAAAAGTCACTAAAGAGGACATGAGAAGAACTTACTGGGCTTGCGCGGACGTATACGGACGGGATACTTGTCTAAGATTATATTTGATGGAGTCAAAAGATATAGAGGGAGCAGGTACTGTCATTAATCCACTAACAGCAATAGACCGAGTAAATCAGTCAAGGGATGACGGAGTCAATTCAACTAACCCGTCCACTATGAAAGATTTTCTCCTCCAAGAATGGAACAATGGGGAAGTGGAGGGGGTCCCTGATGAGAATCTTTGGTTAAAGTGGATGAAATACACCGCTAGGGCCTTGGAGGAGACCAATTGTTATGCATGCTCCATTGGGCGACCAACAATGTTGACCGCCCCAATGCCAAAGGCAATGTTTCCCTGTGTATTAGACCTGGGGTCCAATCAAAAAGAGCCAAATTGCATAGGGATTGGGCTGGCAAAATTGACATACTCGGCCAGCCCACCTAGATTCACTTTAACTCCTGGCGAATACCAGTGTTACAGACATAGAAATGGCACCCGTAACTTGGGTGATTTTGATGGCTGTAAGGAGATAATTAATGTGACTGATTTAGATAAGGAAGGAAGGGAAAAAAAATTAGGAACCTAACCATCCCTTTGACTGATGTGTGGTGGGCATGCACTAAAAAAGGGAGCATTCGGCAGACATTACCAGAGGGATGGGTGGGTACTTGTGCACCAGTTTTGTTGGTCCAACCTGTAAGAATTGGTCATCAAAGACCAGTGACAGGAAGAATAATTAGGAGAAAAATAAATAAGTCAGGAAGGAAATAGCCCAATTTGGATAGATGGTATAGGCATCCCCAGGGGTGTTCCAGACGAATACAAAGCTATAAATCAAATATGGGAGAGTTTTACCTCAACATTTTTCTGGTGGGGGACAAACAAAAATATGGATTGGATAAATTATATCTATTACAACCAACAGCGATTTATTGACAAGACTAGAGATGCAGTAAAGGGGATCTCTGAGCGATTATCCGCCATCCCGCTCATAACTTAGTAGAGGTTGGTTCTAGATCAGGCAGAAAGGGCCGGTGTCTATAGAAAGATAAGCCATTGTTGCATATTTATCCCTAACAACACCACACTGGATGGGACAGTCACCAGAGCTCTTACAGAATTAACTGCACTAAGTGAAGGATGAACTGAACTCAGAAGTTAGTACATTGTGGATAGATGGTTTGATTAAATATTTGGTAAATGGAAAACCCTAGCAGCCACCATCTTAGGAGCGATCAGTGTTTGTATGGGTATTCTTGTATTATGTGGTTGTTGTCTTTTTCCCTGTGTCCGAGGATTGGTGAGTCAGGCGTTGGTGAAATGCAGTATCTAAACAATGATGAGAGATGGACTGACTCCGGACTCTGACCAGGGGAATGTGAAAAACGATCCTCCAGGCTTGGTGGATGACGAGGATTTGGACCCTGAAAGACCGCAATTGGATGAAATGTTTATAAGTTCTGATGTGATCTCTGAGATTAATCATGCTTGTAAAATACATTTATCCTGAATGTGGGAATATTTAGTCAAAGGGGTGGATTGTTAGATTAATTTGGATTTTAAGAATAATGACTAAAGAATTTCACCCCAAACACAGTATAAATGTTAGAATTATCATGTAGTGTCAACCCACTAACAGAAGGGGCGTTACTAACCATTCAAGGGGGAAGGCGGGAACTGTTTAAGAAAGCCATCTAAAGGTGGGAGGAGCATAGTGTCTTTGTTTGTCAAGGAGTATAAAAAACAGGATATTTGTGTTTTTGAGGAGAGCTCTCCATGAATAAATTTACCGATAATTACTTGTGGATTGTGGACCTTGAATCATTGATGATTAAAACCAGAGCTTTACAACCTCTGGTAATGATTCAAGCTTAGGTCGAATTAGAGATAGAAATTCACATGACAATAGCATCCCTCTCTTTGAGCAGGGTGTTAGAGTAGGCTAAACTAGCTAGCTGCACATGCTAGCTAAGTAAGTGAAACTGAAAGTGAAAAAAAATACAAAATCTCTCTATCTCTCTCTTACTTCTCCTTCATTTTTGAATACATTAATTATTGTGTTTGTCACTCTTTGAAACAACTACTAACCACATTTTATGCACTGCAGTCCTAGCTAGCTGTAGCTTATGCTTTCAGTACTATATGTATTCTCTGACCCTTTGATTGGGTGGACATGTCAGTTCATGCTGCAAGAGCTTTGAAAGGTTGGAGAACGTCCTCCAAAAGTTGTCGTAATTACTGTGTAAGTCTTTAGTATAGTTTTATCTAAAAAGGATAACCTTTTTAATGTTTTACAATTTAGATTTTTATGACATTCACTGAGGAGGATGGTCCTCCCCTTCCTCCTCTGAGGATCCTCCACTGATATCATCACATATATTTTAATCAACATCAAGATCAGAAACTGACCATGGCTTGAGTAGAAGCACAAGTCTGTGGTAATAGTGGTGTTTCATTCAGAATCATCTTTACCTTTTTCCCCCAATAAAGTTAAATGTTGTATGATGTGAGGGTCTCTACAGTATATCATTCTGTCAAACAACCCATGATTTTGTTAGCATGGTCCCAGATCTGTGTGTGCCGTCTTGCCAACTCATATGGTCATTGTCACATTCATGTCATGTCAATGACCACAGAAGTTGGCAAGAAAGCACAAATTGATCTCGGACCAGGCTATAGGCTAACCTTGTATCTTCGTGCTTTGTTCTTTCTTGTTGGACAGCCTATATCCTCCCTCCATCTCTCTCTCCCTCTTTCACTCCCTTGCTCTCGCTTCCTTTCCCTCTCACTCCCTCTCATTTTCTCACTCTCTCCCTCTCTCACTCCCTCGCTGTGGCTCTCTCTCCCTTTCCCTCCCTCCCTCCCTCCCTCCCTCCCTCCCTGTCTTCTGCCAGGCATCAGGAGAGCAGCATGGAGGGAGAGGGAGAGAAGATTGAACGCTTGGCTAGTAACGAGCTGAGGTGGAACAATATGCTGTTTTTTTCCTTCAGTTCTCGCCTCCCTTCTGTTCACAACCTGTCGGTTCTCATGCCTTAAACACACATGAGCGCGCACTCACGCACACACAGACGCACAGACTCACATGGACGCAGGCACACACACACACAGACACACACAAGAAAACAGCACGTGCATGCTCACAATATCAGTCATGATCACAAATACACACACACACACACACACACACAAACACACTGCAGCCAATCCTGCCTCGCAACCCTGTCTCCATCCCTAACCACAAATACTGTACATCACATTACATTCGTGCTTCTTTCACCTCCTTCCCCAAAAGAAATGGGTCCCTCAACTGATTTTACATCCTGGTTTGGCAGAACTACTTTTATCCTGGTTTGGCAGAACTTAGAATGACTACTGTCCTTGTTTCCTGCAATCATCTCTCTTCTTTACACCTTTCTCATATCAATAGACAACCATTATTTGTGAGCAGCTGTAGTGTGATATATAGGACAAAGCTGTTATGATGCCACAACAACGTGTTAGTCTTTCACATTGAAGTGTGTGTGTGTGTGTGTGTGTGTGTGTGTGTGTGTGTGTTTGACAGAGCTTTGCCATTTTCCTGAGTTCAGGACTGCAGTCTGCCGTTGCCACAGTTACTACCATTTGATGGATGTTCCTTAATGAGCATGCAAAGCAATCGCCACAGTGTTCACACACACACACGATTGTTACAGTCGTCGCTGCTGTTCATATCACAGCCACCATAACTTTAATAGTTATTAAATCCCTTACATCAAGGAATGGATGCCATGCTTGTCAACCACAGTCACAGTGGAATGACGGCCAAGTAGAGAAGAGAACAAGAGGTGAGGCAGGGAGGACGTTTTCTTAAGATAGAAAGCAAAGCCAAGGTAGAAAAAGGATACAGTATATCACTGATTCAACAGAACAGGTACAATGTTAGATTACAACGGGCAGAAGAGAAGAATGAGGAGGATGGAGAAAATATACAATGTTATGTAGCAACGGCCAAGTAGAGAAGAGGCAGGGAAGGAAGAAAGAAAGGTAGAAAAGGAGGTATGACTGATTCTATTGAGCATCAGTGGAGTAGAACAGCTGTGATCATGCAAGCGGGGGAAAGGTGAGATAACGTCTTTCTGTAGATGGTGCTGTGTTCTGCCAGTCAGCCTGAGCCTGGTGCTATTTAACATCTCCTGATATAACACTGAACATGTACTGCAGATTCACTGGACCATGCTGTGAAATGTTAAAAAAAAGACCTCAAGAATAAACATGTTCATTTCTAGCATCTAACCAAGAAAGAAAGAAAGAAAGAAAGAAAGAAAGAAAGAAAGAAAGAAAGAAAGAAAGAAAGAAAGAAAGAAAGAAAGAAAGAAAGAAAGAAAGAAAGAGAAAAACGTAATTATGTTGTCAGAACCAACATTAATTTTCTCCTGGTGTTTTGAAGCAGGGAAAATACCAAACCAAGGCCAGGGCAACCATATGGTTAGAAGAGTCATTGCCTATTTTGTCAAAAACGATCTTATTCTGCTCTAATATCTGTATCCAGGAGAGTGTGAGGAATCACGGGTCTAGATAATGTATCTGGACAAGACATCTCACACGTCTCTCCCACCATCTGCTTTGGCCGTGATGAAGAGGCTGTATGGTACAAACTGTCCCATTTGGCTGTTTGAGAGGGAGATTTAATAGATTTCAATTGACACACTTGCCAGTCGCCTGGCAATTGGCATTGTCACATTTTACCATCTGGGCAACTGCGCATAGGGGGAAAGTGATTGGCACATCACCTGTTACCAACTGAGCAAAGAAGAAAGCAACTGTTAGGAATTGGGTGAAGGGGGTAAGCCATTGGCACAGGAACAATATGAATCATAGGAACACTTATACGTGCCAAACATCAACAACTGCCATGTGTCTCCTAAAAGTGCCACCATCAATATGATCGTGTCTCTTGTGACAGACTGGAATCTAAGATTATCAAAATAAAGACGAACATCTATTCAATCTGTATTGCTGAAGTGTTACAGATTGCGCGATATACATTTTAAGGTAATTTCCCATTCCCAATTTACCGTGAATGCATTCTCTGCTGTAATGCTGAACTTCCGCGACACTGATTGAATAGAGCCCGCAGGTGGCCAAATAAAACCACCCGCAGGCCAAATTCAGTTGGGGAACCCTACCTTACACAAACAAACACTGAACAACACCTAGGCCTACAGTTACATCAATCTAGAAACAAAGAGCATTGGTGATCAATTCTAAATTGAATTCTCGCTCTACATGTCTGCAATGGTAAAGTGATGAAAGGCAGTCAGAATAATACCAAAGTGAAATAGATATTTTTTTCCACTCCAAAGTGAATCTGGCTGAATGATTATGTCGCTGCCATGAAATTGCTTCTTTGCAGCTTGATCTTTTGAGCTGCAGAACATGACAGACACATCTCCTCAGTCAAACGAACAAAGATGATTAAAAAAATGTCAAGATGACTTATTCAAATGAAGACGATAAAAAATGTCAAGATTTTATTTCAAATCAATGTCTTATTTAATGAACGTTGATTGTTCTTTCAAGCTTGGGTGTACGACACAAATATTTTCTAATCCAAACTAAGACAATAAAAAAAGGTCAAGATGACTTTTAGGGCTTAACTGTGTAAATTAATGTTTCACTTCATGTTTTGCTCTAATCATACATTGGTATTTTAATTGTGAGATCCTATTTTTCTCTGACACTGTTACATTCCATAGATTCAGTCTCACACCAACTCCTCCATTCATGTATGAAGTCATGTTTAAACATACATTACTGTGTCGCTTGGCGCTCGCTGACAGTCAGTGACAGCAAAGCTCATGCCTCACTAATGCTGTCCACCAACCAACGCTTCAGCACCGTTTGTGAGGCGTCAGCAACCTGTAGTCATCCCCAAGTCCTCATTTCAAATTGAAACCAGGTATTGTATATAGGGGAGATGAGAAAGGAAAGAGGGAGGGAGGAGGGAAAAGTGAATTGGTGGAGTCATTATAAAGGAGAAAGGAGGAAAGATAAAGGAAAAAGAAAGAGTGTCACCAGTGATTTAGGCTGTCCTGATATATTATGGCGAGGAGGAGGCTTACTTCTCTGACTGTGGCCTGAATCCCCCTGTTCTCTCTCTCTAATTGGTAGAATGATGTCATTAGAACCAATTTACAACAAGAACTGCTGCTGGGCTTGCTGTGGCCAGTCTGTCTCTACATCACTCAAGGATTGGCCTACCTAGTCATGGTCTCTCTATCTGTGGTGGGCCTGTGTCCCTTTCTCTTTAATGGGGAAGCCTTTCCCTTCCTCTCAGCCAGGCCCAGATGGAAAGCTGCTCTGGAGGAGGCCTCCGAAGTTCAGCGAGATGTGTCTGTCTGTCTCTCTGTCACCATGAGAGGTGGAGGTGAACATGCTCTGTTCTGCTCTGTGTTTTAATGACAATCCATTTCTATTTGGATAGATGGAGGTGGATGTCAGACAGACACAGAGAGATTGTAACATGCACGCAGGGAGTCAGGTAGCAGGTGCTGAAGGTGAGTTTAATAATAATAATAAACATGACAAAACAGGCGCAGCGTACTGAACGTAGCCAAAACCAATACTGCCTGATGACTGAGGCTTACTGAGGGCTGTATGAAGGGACAGTAATCAGGGTGGTGATGATGTCCAGGTGTGCGTAACGATGGGGAGCAGGTGTGCGCAATGATGGTTGCCAGGTGTGTGCAATGTGGGTTGCCAGGACATAGATAGGAGATTGAAATTGTGTCTGGGCTTTTTTGATGTAATGTTCTACGATAAGGATTTCTCTCCGCCCCATTAATGAATGTGGTTGTGACACATAAGATCAGAGATGATTAAGGGGATATCTAGGCGCATCATCAATGTAGGCGCATCATTACTGTGGTTACATCCCAAATGATACCGTATTCCCTACATAATACACTACTTTCGTGAACACCCATAGGGCCTGGTCAAAAGTAAGGTCCTATATAGGGAATGGGTTGCCATGTGGCATGCAACCTGTGTAAACTCCAGAGGCCCATGAGGCTTACATTACTAATAATGAACTGGTCCTCTAAGCCCTGTGGGCGGAAGAGTGTTGTATATTTCCTGAAGGGTTTAGTGGTGTGTGAACAAGAGCTAGTATAGCCACTTTACATAGCAGGAAATGAATGGCCATTATGGAGCCTGGTAAAGTGGAGAGTAATGAGGAGAGGGATTCAGAGAATAGTCATCAACGCAGTAGGAGAGGAATCAATGAAATGATGAAATGAAGAAAGCGAGAGGGCAGGAGAGAAGGGGAGGAGGGAAGAAGCGAGTGAGTGAGATCGAGAGAGAGAGGGAGGGAGAGAGAAAGAAAGAAAAAACTATAGACAGAGAGAAAGGAAAATAAAGAAATGAGAAAATCTATATCTGCCTCTTTCTGATACTGTATAAGATCTAAAGCTTTGAATCAGTTGAATCAATCTACACTAAAATCCTAAAAGGGTTTTTGGGCTGTCCCCATAGGATAACCCTTTGAATAACATTTTTGGTTCCAGGTAGAACTCTTCCACAGAGGGTTCTACATGGAACCCAAAAGGGTTCTAACCTGGAACCAAAAAGGGTTATTCTATGGAGACAGCCGAAGAACCCTTTTGGAACCCTTTTTTCTAAGTGTAGTGTCCAAACATAGGTACAGTAGAATATATATCTTCTAGATCTGCTAGCTCTAAAGACTTAAAGCTTGGAAACACAGGTAGGGTAAAAAAAAAAAAAGTGTCTTTAGTTGTATATTGAACCGGTAAGGGGGTGTGGCAGTAAGGGGATGTGGTATATGGCCAATATACCACGGCTAAGTTCTTAAGCACAACGCAACACAGAGTGCCTGGATACAGCCCTTAGCCGTGGTATATTGGCCATATACAGTGGGGAGAACAAGTATTTGATACACTGCCGATTTTGCAGGTTTTCTTACTTACAAAGCATGTAGAGGTCTGTAATTTTTATCATAGGTACACTTCAACTGTGAGAGACGGAATCTAAAACAAAAATCCAGAAAATCATATTGAATGATTTTTAAGTAATTAATTTGCATTTTATTGCATGACATAAGTATTTGATACATCAGAAAAGCAGAACTTAATATTTGTTACAGAAACCTTTGTTTGCAATTACAGAGATCATACGTTTCCTGTAGGTCTTGACCAGGTTTGCACACACTGCAGCAGGGATTTTGGCCCACTCCTCCATACAGAACTTCTCCAGATCCTTCAGGTTTCGGGGCTGTCGCTGGGCAATACGGACTTTCAGCTCCCTCCAAAGATTTTCTATTGGGTTCAGGTCTGGAGACTGGCTAGGCCACTCCAGGACCTTGAGATGCTACTTACGGAGCCACTCCTTAGTTGCCCTGGCTGTGTGTTTCGGGTCATTGTCATGCTGGAAGACCCAGCCACGACCCATCTTCAATGCTCTTACTGAGGGAAGGAGGTTGTTGGCCAAGATCTCGCGATACATGGCCCCATCCATCCTCCCCTCAATACGGTGCAGTCGTCCTGTCCCCTTTGCAGAAAAGCATCCCCAAAGAATGATGTTTCCACCTCCATGCTTCACGGTTGGGATGGTGTTCTTGGGGTTGTACTCATCCTTCTTCTTCCTCCAAACACGGCGTATTTGTGTCTCATCAGACCACATGACCTTCTCCCATTCCTCCTCTGGATCATCCAGATGGTCATTGGCAAAATTCAGACGGGCCTGGACATGCGCTGGCTTGAGCAGGGGGACCTTGCATGCGCTGCAGGATTTTAATCCATGACGGCGTAGTGTGTTACTAATGGTTTTCTTTGAGACTGTGGTCCCAGCTCTCTTCAGGTCATTGACCAGGTCCTGCCGTGTAGTTCTGGGCTGATCCCTCACCTTCCTCATGATCATTGATGCCCCACGAGGTGAGATCTTGCATGGAGCCCCAGACCGAGGGTGATTGACCGTCATCTTGAACTTCTTCCATTTTCTAATAATTGTGCCAACAGTTTTTGCCTTCTCACCAAGCTGCTTGCCTATTGTCCTGTAGCCCATCCCAGCCTTGTGCAGGTCTACAATTTTATCCCAGATGTCCTTAAACAGCTCTCTGGTCGTGGCCATTGTGGAGAGGATGGAGTCTGTTTGATTGAGTGTGTGGACAGGTGTCTTTTATACAGGTAACGAGTTCAAACAGGTGCAGTTAATACAGGTAATGAGTGGAGAACAGGAGGGCTTCTTAAAGAAAAACTAACAGGTCTGTAAGAGCCGGAATTCTTACTGGTTGGTAGGTGATCAAATACTTATGTCATGCAATAAAATGCAAATTAATTACTTAAAAATCATACAATGTGATTTTCTGGATTTTTGTTTTATATTCCGCCTCTCACAGTTGAAGTGTACCTATGATAACAATTACAGACCTCTACATGCTTTGTAAGTAGGAAAACCTGCAAAATCGGCAGTGTGTCAAATACAGTGTATCACAACCCCCCGAGGTGCCTGGTTATCAACGTAATTAGAGCAGTAAAAATAAATGTTTTGTCATACCCGTGGTATACGGTTTGATATACCATGGCTATCAGCCAATCAGCATTCAGGGCTCAAACCACCCAGTTTATAAATATATATGTCTGTAATATCTATGTTAATGTTTTAAATGTATGTAAATTGTTATGTCTTATTGTCTGATAAATCATAAAAACAAGAAAATTGCTAAAATTCTGAGGGCCCAAGTGAATCTTGTTGCTGGATATTCTGGATAGAGTCTGTAGGAATCAGGGTGGAAGTCAATTAGAATTGAAGGCATTGAATTGTCCATTCTAAAATTGAAAAACCTTAGGAAAAAATAGCTTCAGCTGATTGAGAAGTCATTGAAAATGTATGACATTTTTCTCAATTATTCATTTGGAATTTTAGTTTACTTCCTTAATTGACTGCCTTCAATTTGAATTGACCCCAATGCTGGCAGGAAATAAACATTAGCTCCACATTCTGTTGGAACCTACGCCATGCATCGAGTAAGTGTGAAGACACACAGTCCATCCGAAGTGAAGAAACTCCAGCGATATCCATCTTCTAATCCCACTTCTGACACTATGTCTTGTTTTGCACGCTTTGTACAAAAATAATAAATGCAGAACGACAGGATCTTTATGAACTTCTTCTTTATTAGCTAGTAACTGGCATCTTCATGTTCGTGTCTCCCGCCATGATGAACTTTAATGATCTCACCTGGGTAGTCTAATCAATCATAGCGTTGTATGACAGTAGTCTGTGACCAATGATAATTCAGTAATGTTGAGATCAACGCAATATTAGGAAGGTGTTCCTAATGTTTGGTATACTTTGTGTATGAGCCACGTTACAATTCCCACCAAGAGGGTTAACACTGTTGATGCGTAGGGTGTTTGCTTCCCGCTCCCTCCATTTGCTACACTGCTGACAGAAGTGGAATGGTGGCCATGAGGCCATCGGAATGCAAGGGCGGATATGTCAAGGGGCTTGAAAGAAAATCGAAGGGCGGGGATGTGACTTCCCATTCTGAGGGGGCGGTGTAGCGACACTCGTTATATAAGCCACGTTACAATTCCCACCAAGAGAGTTAACCATATTGGCACGATACGTATGGTGTTGCTGTACTATTCCACAGGTGATGTTCATCTGAGAAATATCAATGATTATAAAGAATGGATAGAGAGGGGTGATATGAGAGCAAAACATCAGCAAATGTAGGCTATCTAATGGGGAGCAGTTTTTCCGAAAGTGCATTTTCAATTAAATGATTAATATTGCCACATCAAAACCAGCTGAGGCACCGTTCAATTCCTAGTTAGAATATGTTCTCTTTGCCTTGCCAAGCACCATGCCTAGAACTACCTATCTATACATAATTGTATCACTAATAAGCCTAGGCTCAGTAAATATTAATTATTTCCCTTCATTCCAAGTCCTGCATTTGGTTATTTACGAAAATAAACTTGCATCATCATGTTCTTGTATGCCAACAACGTTTTTATCATACACATGAACAAAGGTATGTGGACACCTGCTCGTCAAACATCTCATTCCAAAATCATGGGCATTAATATGGAGTTGGTCCCCCTTTTGCTGCTATAACAGCCTCCACTCTTCTGGGAAGGCTTTCTACTAGATGTTGGAACATTGCTGCAGGGACTTGCTTCCATTCAGCCACAAGAGCATTAGTAAGTTTGGGCAGTCACCGTTCCAATTCATCCCAAAGGTGTTCGATGGGGTTGAGGTCAGGGCTCTGTGCAGGCCAGTCAAGTTTTTCCACACCAATCTCGACAAACCATTTATGTATGGACCTCGTTTTGTGAACGGGGGCACTGTCATGCTGAAACAGGAAAGGGCATTCCCCAAACTGTTGCCACAAAGTTGGAAGCACCGAATTGTCTAGAATGTCATTGTATGCTGTAGTGTTAAGATTGTCCCTTCACTGGAACTAAAGGGCCTAAGGAACCATGAAAAACAGCCCCAGACCATTATTCCTCCTCCACCAAACTTTACAGTTGGCACTATGCATTGGGGCAGGTAGCGTTCTCGTGGCATCCGCCAAACTCAGATTCGTCCATCGGACTGCCAGATGGCAAAGCGTGATTCATCACTCCAGAGAACGCATTTTCACTGCTCCAGAGACCAATGGTGCCGAGCTTTACACCACTCCAGCCGACGCTTGGCATTGCGCATGGTGATCTTAGGCTTGTGTGGGGCTGCTCGGCCATGGAAACCCATTTCATGAAGCTCCTGACTAACAGTTGTTGTGCTAATGTTGCTTCCAGAGGCAGTTTGGAACTCGGTAGTGAGTGTTTCAACCGAGGACAGATTATTTTTACCTGCTATGCGCTTCAGCACTTGGTGGTCCAGTTCTGTGAGCTTGTGTGGCCTACCACTTCGCGGCTGAGCCGTTGTTACTCCTAGAAGTTTCCACTTCACAATAACAGCACTTACAGTTGACCGGGGCAGCTCTAGCACGGCAGAAATTTGACCAACTGACTTGTTGGAAAGGTGGCATCCTATGATGGTGTCAAGTTGAATGTCACTGAGTTCTTCAGTAAGGCCGTTCTACTGCCAATGTTTGTCTATGGAGATTGCATGTCTGTGTGCTCGATTTTATACACCTGTCAGCAACGGGTGTGGCTGAAATTGCCGAATTCACTAATTTGAAGGGGTGTCCACATAGTCGCATAGCCTACAATAAGTGTAGATATTAATGGAATCTACAGTTCAGGGGAATAGGCTAAACAATTATCAGCCAACTATGCACAGCTTTGATGTCGACGTATAACGTTAGATAGCCTATAAGAAACCACTTGCAGGGCGCGAGGGGTTACATAAGGCGTTCGGAGAGCGAGAACAAGTCACTGCATGCACCTTTCCCACTAAAGGCTACAGTCAACATTACACAGACCGATCCTCCTGAGAACAGGACTCATCTCTTTCAACCAGACACAAGAACGAACATTTCTTGAATCATCTTAATGTTCTGTGAACTCTAAACAGTTGTGAAATCATTTTTGCTTTTCCATTCTTATTTTTTTTTGGGGGGGGGGAAGTCTGTCATCGTTCTGTTTTTCAGGATCGACCCCTTGGTGAGACAGACCAACTGACCAACTGTAAACTGTCCACCTCGCCCTTTGGCGCATGAGGATCAGTACACACCTTCCAGCCAATAAAACGCCGAGTAGGCGAAACAAAAGCGCGAGCCGTGCCGGTCTAGCCGACAAGTAGTGCTTGGAGAAGTCTTCAGCACCACGGACCAGAGAACAGTAACAGTCACAGGCGCGCGACAGTCCTAGAGCCATGGAGCCGTCCACTGCCCCTGGTGCTGAACCGGCTGATTTTGACATGTACTCGGTGATTCCGTTCAATGTCACCTACCCGGACGACGAGATGGGGTTCGTGCCCAACGGGGAAAACTACACCCAGCAGCTCCCGGTTCAGAGCGCCTCCAATATTATAGTAGCCATCTCCATCACCGCGCTCTACTCCGTTATCTGCGTGGTGGGATTGCTCGGGAATGTCCTTGTGATGTACGGGGTGGTGAGGTAAGGGTTTTCTAGTGGAACCACCAGTGGCATATTCTACTTAGCCTACTATCATTGGTGGCAACTTGCTTTTGAGATTGTATGGCTATTATTTTCTGTAAGAAAGCTTGTGAATGCATATCATTTTCGGGGATATGCATGACTGAAAATGTACTTTTCTCAAGAAAGTTGTAGGCTATAAGGGTATCGTGTATTTCGTATGGATATTCCGTTTTTTATAGCCCAATATCTCATGCGTGCCTCTCTTCGTGTTAGCTAAGCAAACCGTGTATTTGTCAAATGCAAGCACAGGACGCGAATCAATTATAAAATGAATGATACAATTTATGAAAACCAATTTCCTGTGATTTGATGTTGCTACACTCTATAATTAATTTTTGGTTCCAAAACATTTGCGAATACTTTGCTTTTGTTCAACAAGTATACATTTTTGCTGGTGAAACAGTAAATCAATGTTTACTTGCGCGTGAGGACCAAAGGAAAGAGAGAGTATGGTGGAGGGTGAGGGTGTGTGTGTTTGTGTGTGTGTGTGTGTGTATGCCTACTAGTGTGCGTGCGTGCGTCGGACTCTTTTCATATTTCACATGCAGTCCTCCTCTGTTCAGCCCGACTCCACAGTACACGTGCACACACACACACACACACACACACACACACACACAAACACACACACAGCCTCTGGCTAGAGAGCTGGGTCAGGTCCAGGAGGAGTCTCTTTTGCCTTCATCTCTAGCTGGTAAATATGACGCTTTCTTTAGTTTGATTTGGTTTGAAATGAAAGGATTACAGTATACCGAAAAGAGTACCTAAATTGGGCTAGCTTTAAAAAAAAAAAATGTATTATCAAATGCTCCCATTTCACAGACATTAATTAAGATCAACAGGATTCAAATTGCAATTACTGGCATTATTATTGGCTATTCCCAATCTGCACCCTCCCTTAATTGAAATAGTACTGATGTCAGTGATGGGTTTATTGTTTATGATGACATGACCCTGCTGAGTGTATCTTTAAGGAGAATAATTATGCCCACATCACTAAAATGCTCTAACAACTGCACCACAGGTGACAACCATTAATTGAACCCCCCCTCTGACATGTTCAAAGACATGTCAGGCCATAGCCAAACTTGGAGGACTGAACCCTCGCAGTGTGTACTAAACTGAACCCTAGCAGTGTACTAAACTGAGCACTAGTAGTGTACTAAACTGTCTGGCATTACAAGACAATGAGTGTCCAGTCTAGTGAACTGGATGTCCAGTCTAGTGCACTTACTTCCTCTGATGTACACTAATAGCTTTATTGCCCACTGCAGTCAGACATGATAAAACAGTGTCCAGTCTAGTAGCTCTGAATCCACTAATAGCTTTAGGGTTGGGGTCAATTTGGAATTTCTGAATTTAATTTAATTCAAACAATGAATTTGAATTGAATTTGAATTGGCCTCACCCCACAGGAAGTAGAATTTGAATTTAATTGAAGGAAGTAGAATTTAATTAAAACCAATTCAAATACAAATTCAGAATTGACCCCAATCCTGTTATATATGTAAAGTTGTTCAGTGGAGCTTGACAGTAAGAGCCAGTAGGCTACCATCAGTATGAACTCTCCTCTCTGGTTTTCAGAGAAAAGATACATCTAGTGGCCTCTTCTGCTGTCTCCTGTCAGATAATGAAAGAGGTTGTCATGACAATGGACATTAGTTGGTTTCTCCCAGAGCCATATATTAAGAGAGTTCGTCCAGGTTTTAGAACGGATGCCATGTTAGCACCTTTATTCTCAAAATGTTGGTGATGTACAATACGAGAGCGCCTCCGACAGTTCCCTATGAAATGACCCGCTGTAAACAAGCAAAACAGAGCAGTGAATTTAACAGACATTTTTATTGATTAGCATTCGGGATAATGTGTATCCAAGTCGGTACTGTGTTGTGGTCTCAACAAATTGCATATGTGCTTTCACTGGACATCTTCATAGGTTTTTAAAACTATCAGAAATAAACAGCACAATGCTAAAGCGTCAATTATCACTTAGCAACGGCTGTGGAGGAGAAAGTGGAGGTGCTTTAATGGGATTTGACTAGATGGTAGGCCTATACAGCTACGGATGGAAGTTACTTTTCGTAGCAGGTTAGGAGAACTTACGCAGCAGGTTAGGAGAACTTACGCAGCAGGTTAGGAGAATTTACGCAGCAGGTTAGGAGAACTTACGTAGCAGGTTAGGAGAACTTACGCAGCAGGTTAGGAGAACTTACGCAGCAGGTTAGGAGAACTTACGCAGCAGGTTAGCAGAATTAATGGAACAGGTTAGCAGAATTAATGGAACAGGTTAGTAGAGTTAGATTAAGGTTACGAAAAGGGTTCAGGTTAGGTTAACTAAAATGCTCTCCTAACCTGCTATCTGATACGTATCAGATTTGTTCCCTTAAGTGTAAACAGCAAAAAAAAACACATGGAATCTGATCTTTTGACTTCAGATTTATACCACCTCTATTTGTGGATCTGATTTCTGATACAAACCGAATCCTGCATATGCGACCTCTGTCTGGACGCTCAGATCAGATTTTTGTGGGGGGGTTTTGCAGATGACCTGCCGTTACCATGACAACCACCCCAAAATGTAAGGAGAGAGAGCGACAAAAAAAAGAGTGAGAGAGAGAGAGAGAGAGAGAGAGAGAGAGAGAGAGAGAGAGAGAGAGAGGCAGTGGCAGAAACAGAGACAGACAAACATAGAGAGAGAGTGGGTGTGTGAGAGAGAGAGAAACAGAGAGAGACAGGGAGAGAGAAAGCGGCAGAGAGAGAGCAAAAGACAGATTTAGTATTTTAGTATTTTATTAGGATCCCCATTAACTGTTGCTGAAGCAGAAGCTACACTTCCTGGGGTACACACAAAACACAAAACATTACATAATACAGAACATCAATAGACAAGAACAGCTCAAGGACTGAACTACACACATTTAAAAGAGATAGGAAGAGACTGAGTGAAATGATGACAGATCAGAGACTTCCTGTTGCAAATACAAATTGTTACATCTTTCCCATATTCAAGCCATTTGAAACATATTCAAGTTATTAGCGTTATGAACATAGAAACCTGTTTGCAGTTTCTGTGCCGCAATGTTTATTTTATTTTATACATCATTACTGGTAATCAGAATGTGTTCTTAGGTGTGATTTTGGTGTGAAGTGTGATTTTATGATGGCTTACTAAAAAGCTAGTGTGGAACCCCATATTATTGGCATATTCAACAGCGTTTAACAAATATTTGACCTTCAACACTGTTGTCTTGTGATCAAGCCATCAATGTTTTGTGATTATTGGGGTCGTAAAAATGTTAGCTAACGGGTTAGCAATTAGCATGTTTGACATTTCAGTGGAAATACTACTACTATCAGCTTTTTGATAAGCGGTTTAGCAAAGAAATACGTCCCGTATTATCGGCATACGGTCCCCAGTTATTGGCCACCTTACTATTTTGTTCAATTACAAGACATATCCATATAAGCACGGGGTGACCTCCTGTGGACTCTTAAAAATGGTTCTTCACCAACATCTTCTTCAGTGTTGTAACCAAATAATGTCTCATAATTTGTTTTACAGATTAATCTTATGTTTTGAGAAAGCAGATAACAGTTTAATACTAAAATATAAATGAGTATGAATAATTTACATCAAATAAAACTTTAATTTCAGTAATGTGCATTGACATAAACAATTAAAACACTGTTGGAGTTTGTGCTGCAGAGATGCACTTGGTAAGTAAAGGAAGAAATACACAAGATTAAACAAATAAATAATTTATTAAAGTTCCAGACGAACAGTTATTGTGCTGACACTGCTTCCAGAGGCAGTTTGGAACTCGGTAGTCAGTGTTGCAATCGAGGACAGACGATTTGACCGGGGCAGATCTAGCAGGGCAGAAATGTGATGAACTGACTTGTTGGAAAGGTGGCACCTATGACAGTGCCAAGTGGAAAGTCACTGAGCTCTTCAGTAAGGCCATTCTACTGCCAATGTCTGTCTGTGGAGATTTCATGGCTGTGTGCTGGATTTTATACACCTGTCAGCAATGGTTGTGGCTGAAATAGCCCAATCCACTAATTAGAAGGGGTGTCCACATACTTTTGATGGTGTGCTGCCTTTTAAACTGCCTGAAATTGACACACTGTGGACTGGAGGCCAGCGAACATGGTCAATACTGGACCGAGTGATTAACTTGTGGTGACAGACTATGATCAATGGCTCTGGGTGTACGTACCCAATATACAAATGATGCCTGTGGTCTGATGAAGCTGTGATCGATAAGACAATAATCAATATTCACCAGCGTCAGGAGAAGGAAACATTCCATGTCCATCCTGTTTGTCCTGGAACCAAGGCCACTGACTGACGTTTTTGAAATGACCCTCTGTTCCCTGCAGCAGTGATTCTAACAAGGATCTGCCTCCTCCATATGTTTGTTAGCCTCTAAGGCAGTAGTTTTCAACCTGTGGTCCACGGTCCTTTTTCTAGCAATTTATTTTCTTCCAAAAATAATAGCAGTTGGGGGTATTAATGGTATTTTAAGAAATGTTACATTTCTTTTCAAAATGCCAATTGTTTATAATAATAATAACAGGCCTTTAATCTGTTACATTCACAGATAAAATGGACCCCAAATTTGTCCGGCAAGATATTTAATGTTACAACAGTCCTCAAGAGGTTTTGACAGTGATTTGGTGGTCCACGGAATGGAAATGGTTGTGAACCACTGCTCCAGGGACACGAGATGAATGTGTGAAGAGGACAGGGCTGTACAGCATTGATAGCTACAATCCCCAACTAGACAGAGGTCTATGATACTATCACAGTTACAGTTCATGTTTCTCATTTTAAACAGCATGATTTAACATGACGTTGAAAGAAAAGATCCCACTGTTTTCAAGCTTTTCAAGCTTCCAACAAGGAGAATGGACATACAAACCACCCATATGAACTTGTGCCCTGTGGCATTAGCTAACTACTACAGGTCCAGAACCAGTTAAACGGATGGCATGAACAGAGTGGGCACTGTGGGCAAATATCAAAGCTCATCCTCTTCTATGATTAATGCATGCACAGCTGTCATCCTCAATGGGAAATGGAACATAGCATGTTGTGGTGAAACCTGCCTTGGTGCTGTAACCTGCTGAGAAGATGTTTCAGGTTGTCAGCTACATCCCCCGTAAAGATAACAGGGAGGGACAGCCTATCTTAGTCAGTTCCCTGAACCGACTGTACCGTACAGTGCTGTACAGAACACTGTATCCTTTTACCATCCTGCCAGTATCTGGCCACTGGGGTGTTCTCAGCTCAGATCATGTCTCTTCCCCCAACGCCCACCCGCCTCTTCTCTGCTTCTCTAGCCACTTCATCAACATCCATTCACACAAACAGAGCCCTGAGCCCACCCACTCAATGCGTCTCTCGTCGCATCTCCGTCTTCGTGTCTGCATGAGTGTGTGTGTGTGTGTGTGTCTGTGTGTGTGTGTGCGTATCATGTGTAAGCCCTGGCTCGTGTAACATTGGCTCAAGGCGTAGGGGAGTGGGCCATGGTTTGAACAGGAAAGACAATAAGGGACTTGGACCCAGCATGGATCTTGGTGGTGGAGGAGAGGTGTGTGTGTATATGTGTGTGTGTCCCGACCACACCAGCTCAGATCAGGGCTGGCGATAACGATTCTACATACGCAGAGAACAAACCCATCCAAGGCGTATGACGACTGCTTCTGATTCACCGTCGTTTTATGAATACGAAAAATATAAGAATGAAAATGTAATATCTAATTGTCTCCTGCTAACCGTGGCGCTAGGAAGCACAGACGGATTCATAGATGAAGTTATGCTGAATCAAAGGGTTCTAACAGACGTGAAAGAAACCTCCCATCAAGAACAATCTTCTTCCCTAGCGATAACAGATTCTGTAACCTGCTGTAGTCGGACTCAGAACACATCTGAGCACCGGAAACTCCAGGCAATAGTTTTACTCTGTCTCTGGCTCCCCAATACGTGTGACTCAAGCAATATTTCCTAAAACATGTCTTCCTTGCCCCAGTGAGATATTGTTGTGATACACTATGAGCAGGTTCACAGCAATGGACTACTGATGTGTTTGCCCAACAGAGACCCATTTATAAAACACAGTACCACTGACAACATGGGATGCATTACAGATGTAGGATCTTAATTTGAGCCAGTTTGAGCCAGGAAAATAATCCTGCAGTATCAGGAAATGTGAATGATTATGTGAATTATAATTAATGGACATTTCTGTAGGGGTTGATACATTTTTCACAAGGGAAAATCAAGTCTGAAATGTCAAAGTGGAAATTACAAACTTCAGATGCCTTTTTAAACCTCAAATACACTACAAGTTTTAAATGTCCCGCATTACAGGAAAGTTCTCCTGCAACAGGGTGATCAAATTAAGATCCTACGTCTGTATACAGTACTGATATTATTACATTTTACATTAAAGTTGAATGTATAGCTTTACAGCATAGGAATGGAGCTACAAAGCTGGAAAAGCATTTTGTATGAGTCAGGTACAGGACCTCTGTCCTGATGCTGTTAGTTGGAGTGATTCTTGACAGATTTTTTGCATTCATCAATCACTTCCACCTAGCCTGTCTCTACTTTTAACAGTGTGATTGTGTAATTGCCAGGGCTGCATTTATGGTGTAGCGAGAGAGTGATACCCTGGAGAGGCAGAGCCAGTAGATCAAGACCACCTTACTTACTGACACCAAGACCCAATACAGACAGAGATGGAGAGAGAGGGAGATAACCAACAATTCATCTAGTTAACCTTTTGTTTGAATAGAGACAGGTGCAATTAAAACAGAAAGAGATTGGATAGACAAGATTTAGATCCACTGACCTGACCTTGTTTTAATTTTCTGCATTTGTCCCTGAGTAGGCAATATTACAATGCCTATCACCACTCTTCACATGCACACACACACACACACAAACACACACACGCCACACACACACACACACAAACACACACACGCACGCACACACTGTTGTTGTAAAGTCTGTTCAATGTCGGCCAGTTGAATTGACCTGACAGGGATCACAACACATCTGTCAGATGAACAATTAAGAAGGCGGCTTTCATGGACAATTTAGATCGGAATGGTTTAACCCTCCTGTGGGAGCCGTTGAAGCAGAAGAGAAATCAGCAAATCACCAGCAGCTCTCAGCCGCAGATACTCAACAGGCCTGTCCCCTCTCACCCCTAACCCACCATCAGTCTCATACGCAAATGGGATGCCTAAACCAGGGATGGTCATCACTGTCCTGGCTCATGGCCTCTTTGCTGACTTACAGCAAAGAGACATTTTGCGTATGTGTGATCCTTTGTAGCTCATTTTGTCGTTTTGTAGAGCATTCCCAAACTACCCATACGTAAAATGTATGCACTCATGACTTTAAGTCGCTTTGGATAAAAGCGTCTGCTAAATGGCTAATATATATTATATTACATTATAGCACTACATGCATGCACACACACAAACACAGACACAGACACACATACACACATTCCACAGACCTACATTATAGCCCCGGTCTCCAGAATGATTTGGCTGGTAGTGTTTATGCACTAAGAGCTGTAAGTTAATAGATGTTATCGACCAAACCTTAAAGAGGGAGAAAAGGTATGGGAAATCAATAGGCTACAATGTATTTATTAATGGGCGACAAGGAACAGGGTCATTCCACCTCAAAAAGCACAAGAATGAGGGTTTTGACACCCACAATGTCAGATTGTTCTGAAATCGTTTCTGTTGTTAGAAACAGATAAGATAAGCATTCCTGTAACATTCCTAATTTCTTCCTCATTGTTAGAAAAAAGTTTGGTCCAAATCGGATGTTAGGTACTATATTGAGTATTATATGAATCCTATGAATTTGAATGGCCAATTTGGGTGCAATCTTAATTTCTCAGAGATCAAATGATATTTCAACAAAATAATTTGGCAGGAATGCTAATTTTATATTTTTCTAACTACAAACATGAGTTCTGAACAATCTGAGGTGGGTGTAATGGCTTGGTGAAATGACATGGAACGACCCAACAGGGAGTTAGGGTTTGGAGCTTACAGTCACTGTCAAAGACTGACCAACCCAAAACTGATTTAAATTTTCCAGTAAATGTTGTTTACTTAATTCTGAGTGTTGTTTGGTTTGATTTTGTTGTCCTTTTGGCCATCTGGACCATTAACTAAATGGACTGTACAAAATATGCACTTAATTTATCCACAGAGCCATGCCGCACAGTGCAAAAATCAGTTGACAAGTACTGTGCTCACTTAAGCACACCAATTTAAACACTAGCATATTCTGTACCTCTACAGCATTTTACATACAGACCAATGGGCTATAACTAATAGAATACTGTTTTGAAGGCAAAGTAGGTTAAGATAGAATATATCTCTATTAACATATTTATATTGTGCCTTCAGAGAGATTCTGACCCCATTAAGCCAATATCTTTAACTACACTTGTGACTCAGCCAGACCCTCGATGTGAACTGGGGACCCCGATCAGACACTATTTCTTCAGGCACACCGTAGTGCCGGAAGACGTGGGTAAACAGAGCCTCCGCAGTCTTAAGGGCCGTAGGGAGACCGGGCAAAGGAAGGAGACAGCAGTACTTAGAAAACCGATCCACACGTGGTGTTACCTTGTGACGGAGGAAGATCCGTCACGAAGTCCACCGATAGGTGTGACCACGGCCATTGTGGAACGGGTAGGGGTTGTAATTTCCCTCTGGGCAGGTGTTTAGTTGCCTTGCACTGGGCGCACACCGAGCAGGAGGAAACATAAACCCTCACGTCCTTAGCTAAAGTGGGCCACTAGTACTTCCCACTAAGACAGCGCACTGTCCGACCGATGCCAGGATGACCAGAGGAGGGTGACGTGTGGGCCCAACAGATCAATCGATCGCGGACATCAACCGGAATGTACAGACGCCCAACTGGACACTGGGTGGGAGTGGGCTCCGTACGTAACGCCCGCTCGATGTCCGCGTCAACCTCCCATACCACCGGTGCCACCAGGCAAGAAGTATGGGAGTGGGATCCGTGGACCGCTCCTCTGTGTCATACAACCGGGACAGTGCATCTGCCTTAGCATTCTGGGAACCTGTTCTGTAGGATAGGGTGAAAACAAAACAGGTAAAAAACATGGCCCACCTTGCCTGGCGAGGGTTCAGTCTCCTCGCCCGCCGCCCGGATGTACTCCAGATTGCGGTGGTCAGTCCAAATGAGGAAAGGGTGTTTAGCCCCCTCAAGCCAATGCCTCCACGCCTTCAGAGCCCTGACAACAGCTAACAGCTCCCGGTCCCCCACATCATAGTTTCGCTCCGCCGGGCTGAGCTTCTTCGAAAAGAAAGCACAGGGGCGGAGCTTTGGTGGCGTATCCGAGCGCTGAGACAGCACAGCTCCTATCCCAGCCTCGGACACGTCCACCTCTACTATGAATGCCAAGGAGGGATCAGGATGAGCCATCACGGCAGCCGAGGTAAACAGAGCCTTCAAGTGACCAAAAGCCCTGTCCGCCCCAGCTGACCACTGCAGTTGCACCGGTTCCCCCTTCAGCAAGGAGGTAATGGGAGCCGCTACCTGACCAAAGCCCCGGATAAACCTCCGGTAGTAGTTGGCAAACCCTAAGAACCGCTGCACCTCCTTTACCGTGGTTGGAGTCGGCCAATTACGCACGGCTGAAATGCAGTCATTCTCCATCTCCACCCCTGACGCAGACAGGCGGTACCCTAGGAAGGAGACGGACTGTTGGAAGAACAGACATTTCTCAGCCTTGACGTACAGGTCATGCTTCAACAGTCGACCAAGCACCTTGCGCACCAGGAACACATGCTCGGCACATGTGGCGGAGTATATAAGAATGTAATCTATATACACCACTACACCCTGCCCGTGCAGGTCCCTGAAAATCTTGTCAATGAAGGATTGGAAGACTGATGGAGCATTCATCAACCCGTACGGCATGACGAGGTACTCATAGTGCCCAGAGGTGGTACTAAATGCCGTCTTCCACTCATCCCCCTCCCAGGTTGTAAGCGCTCCTGAGATCCAATTTGGTGAAGAAGTGCGCCCCGTGCAATGACTCTGTCACACTGGCTATGAGAGGCAGTGGGTAACTGTACTTCACAGTGATCTGATTTAGCCCACGATAGTCAATGCATGGACGTAAACCTCCATCATTTTTCTTCACAAAAAATAAACTTGAGGAGGCAGGTGAAGTGGAAGGCCGAATGTATCCCTGTCCCAGAGATTCGGAGACATATGTTTCCATAGCCGCCATCTCCTCCTGAGACAGAGGATACACGTGACTCCTGGGAAGTGCTGCGCCTACCTGGAGATTTATTGCACAATCCCCCTGTCGATGGGGTGGTAGTTGAGTCGCCTTCTTTTTACAGAAGGCAAGAGCCAAATCGGAATATTCGGGGGGAATGTGCATAGTGGAGACCTGGTTTGGACTCTCCACCGTAGTTGCACGTATGGAAACACCTACACACCTCCCTGAGCACTGACGTGACCATCCCTTGAGAGCCCTCTGTTGCCACGAAATAGTGGGGTCATGAGAGGCCAACCAGGGAAGCCCCAACACCACAGGAAACGCAGGAGAATCGATCAGGAAGAGACTAATTCTCTCCTCATGATCCTCCTGTGTTTTCATCCATAGTGGAGCTGTGACCTCCTTCATCAGGCCCGACCCTAAAGGACGACTATCTAAGGCATGTACAGGGGAGGGCACATCAACATGAACAATAGGGATCCCTAATCTACATGCAAATGAACTGTCAATAAAGTTCCCAGCTGTGCCTGAATCGACTAGCGCCTTATGCTGGGAATGCGGGGAAAATTCAGGAAATTCTATACAAAACATACATACGCGAAACAGGGAGCTCTGGGTAAGTCAGGTGCCTACTCACCTGGGATGATCCACCAGTGCCCTGCCTGCTGCCTCGACTCCCTGGGGAACCTCCCCAGCACCGACCAGCAGTGTGCCCTCTGCGGCCACACTTGGTGCAGGAACCGGCCCCCCCTCCGGTCACCCTAGGAGCAGCACCTCCGAGCTCTATAGGGGTAGGGTAGATAGATCCACCAGCTGGTCGAGGGTAAGGGTGGTGTCCCTGTAGCTCCCGACAAACGTCCTCGCGTAGACTACACCGGTATTGGTTGATCAGGGCCCTTTCATTCCATCCCGCGCTGGCCGCCAAGGTCCGGAAGTCCAGTGCGAAAGTCCTGTGCGCTCCTCTTCCCCTGTCTGAGGTGGAACAAGTGTTCCCCCGCCACTCTCCCCTCCAGGAGATTATCGAAGACCGCCCGGAAGCGGCGGGTGAAATCCTCATAGCGAACCAACGATGCGTCTATTCCTCCCCATTCGGAGTTGGCCCAATCAAGCACTCTCCCCGACAGACAGGAGATGAGGGCGGACATGCTCTCGTATCCCGAGGGAGCCGGGTGGAAGCAGGAACCCCTGGCACCCGGCAGCCGTCCCATCATATGCCCTCGGGAGCGAGAGCCGAATCCCACTGAGTCCAGGTGACGGAGGGGTGGACATCGGTGTGGGTTGACCTGAAGTTGCTAAGGTTGTGGGAAAACCCCCTCTCTCCCATCGCTCCATGGTCTGCAACACGCAATCCATCGCAGTGCCCAGATTCTGGAGCATCGTCGCGTGCTGCTGGACGCGCTCCTCCAAGGACTGGCTGCACCTGCTGACTCCAAATTAGGTGCGTGTTTCTGTCAGGTGTCAAATGTGTAGCGGTAGGACGGAGGCAGGACACAGAACTGAGTACACAACGTTCGTTACTTAGAAAAACAAACACTAATTTCATGCAGGGAAAACACACCAGCTCACAAAAGTGTATGACACAACACAACGAACAAACACGCACAAAACCATGTGGGAACCAGAGGGTTAAATAGGGAAATAATCATCATACAATGGGAACCAGGTGTGTACAAACAAGACAAAACCAATGGAAAACAGAAACGCAGATCGGTGGCAGCTAGAAAGTCGGTGACGACGATCGCCGATAGCCGCCCGCACAAGGAGAGGCACCAACTTCGGCGGAAGTCGTGACACAGGGGTCACGGAAATTCAGAATTGGCCTATTTTAGAGGAATAGAACATATCTTAATGTAGCAAATAATCATAAGTGGTTATGATCTAATACAGATCCATATTGGGAAATGTTAACAAGAAAATGTTAATGTCGTAAGTGATCATGATCTGAAAATGACAATGGATTCCGCAAATTACAGTATGTGGTTAAAGTTACTTTTAGCTCTATAGCGCTTCCTCGAAAAGTGCTTGATCAGACACTAACAAGCCTGAAGTATATCAATTATCTTGAATCACTCATTCAGAAAGAAATAGAACCGCGTACGAAGAGAATTAAAATAGCATGTTCAACATACAGCAAGAGATCAATTATCTGTAATCACTTGTTCAGAGAGAAATAGAATTACATGTTCCAAATGTTTCTCTGTTCAACATATACAGCAAGAGGCAATTAGTTAGAGCATCTGGGACTGACTGCAAAATCAATTTAACTTAATTATCTTTCACCAAGGTTGAGATAAATTCAAAAGTCCATTGAAATTCAATTAATTAATGTCAAAATCCTCAAAGAAAACAACATACGGTTTGATAGCAACATCAATTCAACAAATGGCTTTGTCTCTGTCCACAGATACACCAAGATGAAGACATCCACCAACATCTACATCTTTAACCTGGCTCTAGCGGATGCCCTAGCCACCAGCACACTCCCCTTCCAGAGTGCCAAGTACCTGATGGGGACCTGGGCCTTCGGAGAGTTCCTCTGTAAGGTGGTCATCGCCATCGACTACTACAACATGTTCACAAGCATCTTTACCCTGACCATGATGTCTGTGGACCGCTACATTGCTGTGTGCCACCCAGGTAAAGGGAGAGAAGCATTCCACATGGCACCCTATTCCCTTTATAGTGCACTACTTTTAGCCAGAGTGTATCCTCTCGCGAAAATAAATGAAAGGGTGCTAAGAGCCAATAACACTCACTGTAATATAAGTTGCAATTGAAACGTAATTTTCTGTGTGTCACCCAGTGAGAGCCCTGGAGTTCAGGACGCCCGCCAAGGGTAAGATCATCAACGTTCTGATCTGGGTTCTGTCCTCTGCCATCGGAGTGCCCATCATGGTCATGGCGGTGACAAAAACGACAGACAGTGGTGAGAAAGCAGCGTTAAACTAGCTAGCACGTTTTTGACACTTCTTTCAACGGCTTTCTTGTATAGCCTCAATCATATTGGGGTTTTTGTCATTTGAAACTCATCATGTTTTTTTGAATTTCTCAGTTAAATTCTTTGTTTTTTAAAATCCCATTAAATAAGGGAATATGTCACTCTTCCTGCTAATTTACAGTATATTAAATCTTTGGTCAATTATCTCTATAACATAAACCTCCTACAGTTTCCTCTCTAGAGCTGTCTGACCCCCCCTCTTTAAATGTGTCTGACTCCTTTCCTTCTCTCCTTCACATCTCTCTTCTCTCCTTCACCCCTCTCTCCTCTCCTTCACCTCTCTCTTCTTTCCTCCACCCCTCCCTTCTCTCCTTCACCTCTCTCTTCTCTCCTTCACCCCTCTCTTCCCTCCTTCACCTCTCTATTCTTTCCTCCACCCCTCCCTTCCGCGCCTTCAACCCCCTCGTCGTTCCTCCACCCCCTCCCTTCTCTCCTCCACCCTCTCTTCTTCCCCCCCCCTTCCTTCTCTCCTTCACCCCTCTCTTCTTTCCTCCACCCCTCCCTTCTCTCCTTCACCCCTCTCTTCTTTCCTCCACCCCTCCCTTCTCTCCTTCACCCCTCTCTTCTCTCCTCCACCCTCTCTCTTCTCTCCTCCACCCCTCCCTTCTTTCCTCCACCTCTCTCTTCTTTCCTCCACCCCTCCCTTCTCTCCTTCACCCCTCTCTTCTCCCCTTTACCCCTCTCCTCCTAGGTCAGACTATGTGCACACTGAAGTTCCCCGACCCTGACTGGTACTGGGACACAGTCACTAAGATCTGCGTTTTCATCTTTGCCTTCATCGTCCCTGTCACGGTCATCACCATCTGCTATGGTCTGATGATACTGCGTCTGCGCAGCGTCCGCCTGCTCTCCGGCTCTAAGGAGAAGGACCGCAACATGCGCCGCATCACCCGCATGGTCCTCGTGATTGTCGCGGCCTTCATCATCTGCTGGACGCCCATCCACATCTTCATCATCATCAAGACCCTGGTGGAGATCGACTCTAGGTTAGTCGTTATGTTTCGTGTACTTTTATTTTCTTGCTGATTTTACCGTGTGCTTGTGTTGCTTCTTTATTCATCTTGCTGATTTTATTAGGTCAAATTTCTTTGGGTGTGTTGAAAAAGGGCATCAAATAAAATGTATTATACATAACTTATTATTATTTATTATTAACAGGAACCCCTACGTGAAAGCCAGCTGGCACCTCTGCATTGCGCTGGGCTACATGAACAGTAGTCTCAACCCCGTTCTCTACGCTTTCCTGGACGAGAACTTCAAGAGGTGCTTCCGGGACTTCTGCCTGCCCTGCCGGACCCGCGTGGAACGCAACTCCCTCAACACAGGTCGGAATGCCAACCGGGAACCCGTGTCCGTCTGCGCTCCGACTGTAGCTGGGACGGAAAAGAAGCCTGTATGACTAGGCATGGACCAGATCCCTTGTGGTTCTCGATCCAGGAGGGTCCAGCAAGACCTGCAGTCTGAGATCACCCAGATCTCCACAACAGAGTTCTGACAGGACAAACAATGATTCACACAGAGGTGTCAGTAAAGGGGGTTCAAACCACATCATCGTTTTTTTTTTGACCACATCATTGACATTCCTCCCAGTGAGATTTAGGAACTTTCTTTATTGTAGCTCAGAAAGAGAGAGATTCAATGTTTCATCATACATTGTTTTCGATAAAACTCAACACACATCTCTGTGAAGGTTCTATCTAGAGACAATCTGCGAAGGTGCCAGGGCTTTTTAAGTAGTGAATTTCTGGTTTGTGACAAATGAATGTCTGGCTGCAGAGTGAATACACCGGATGTTGTCAAGGACAGTGGTCCAAAGGATACGACATGGTTTTGTCAATGACTGATGACAAGCTGCACAAATATGGGACTGGTTATTTTTTTTAAATAAGGCAACAGGTTAAGGGAAACCACTGAATGAGTAGATATGTGGACATCTGAAATGTGGACATTTGAACCAGGAGGGGGTGGAGAAAACACCCAACACTGTTCAGTGAAAATGACAGTTGTTACAACTGACGGACTTGGCACAGATTCCAAATGCTAAGCAGTGGTCTCATGTACCAGAGACTGCATCATCCATCTTGAAAAGACAGACTGTAGTTTGGGTACAGTACACTGCGTGTGTGACGTCAATGCTTCTCCAGGCTACAGTAACCTTGTGCTTTGACAAACTGAGAAAGTGGAGAAGCATGGATGTCCAACCTTTGTTGATAGACCTTCTTTCTATTCTCTGGGAAGCAAGCACCTGTAAACTAACATTGATGAGAAACTTCAAAGATTGCTGACGCATATTCCAACCATCACACTTGACTCCACTTTCATAGAGACAAACTAAGATATAATGAAGAAAAAAAACGACGTCATTTTCCACTTTCCGTCTACTTCAGAACAAAAGGCAAAACAAATACATTTCACACGCCACAGAGAAAGAAGAAACTACAGATCCTTTTTGACAGGTTGGATGATGGATGAAAGCGTACTTTAGTGCAAAGCACTGGGGCACGAGATGCTGAAACAAAATGGGAAAATGGGAAAATGGGCCTGATAGCTACGTGAATCTGTAAAATATGGACATCTAGCACAGAGCTCTGTGACTGCCTGTGCTCTACTGCTGTACCATAGCATTTCCTTTCGACTGACACCTCGGCTCTCGGCTCCAAACCTACTAGACTTTCATGGATCGGAGCAGAGAGGTAGAAGGGACCACTGAGAGGAATAACTAAACAATCATAGACCACAGAGGGTTGAGGAGCAGACAGCCTAATCTAGATAAACACTCTGTGTGAATGCATTACTACTCTGATGAATGTAAAAAAGAAACAACAACAGCAGAACAACTTTAAAACTGACAAGCCTGAAGAGTATGGCGGCTTGTGAGACCAAGACCACAAACCTCTTGAGAATCACTGAGCATTTATATAGCTGAACCAAGTGAGATTTGAATAGGACTCACTATCTGTGTTACTGTGTAATTGGAGAAAAACATTGTGTCATCTGTCAAATTAAATCGATGGCAGATTAGAAACACTAACTATGGCATTATGTCATGATAAGATTCCTAAGAAAGATGATGACAGCGCTCAATTTTACCTTGTGGGCATCAACTAATGATAGTGATTAAGATGAAAATTACCCTTCATATTTCATAGGCTGTAGGCTATAATTTATGAGTTTATTATAGGGTATAAATTCTCCCGGTAACCTTGCAAAACATCAATACTGATGAAAGATCAAGCCTGCAAATCGTTCCATAGATTGCAACCCACATGGCACCCTATTCCCTATATAGTGCACTACATTTGACCAAGTAGTGCACTATTTAGGGAATAGGGTACCATTTCATACATTTTTACTGACCTTGGACACAATACTATGTCATGAACCACTGTGACAAGCCCAAAAATGTGGACAAGAGGTTTGTGAATTGTTTTGCATAATGATACTAGCTAGCACAGTCTAAGGAAGAAAATATAATATAATTATTGCTTATGTCGATGTCAGCTTAGATGACATATAACTATTAAAGGTTAGATGTCAACATTCTGGTATATTTCTAATGAGATGTATTTGCATGTCTGTGGAAATACTGACGTCAGAAGGATACAACATTTACTGAAGGTAAGGAAACCAAAATCAGTTCCAAACTAAAATCACTTAACGTGACTTTGTAGATATAGACATTCTTAGAACTCCTGCATATTATTTACATAGTTGGCTAACTTTTTCAGTGACAGGTGAAACTAACTTGCTTCCATTTGTGTATGTGATTCTGTATGCTTTCTTTATGATGACTATCACTCCATTTTCATTGTGATATTTGATCACATAGCTTCATGCTTTATTAGCTACTGTACTGCTTAACTGCTGAGGCTAGTCTTAAATGCAAAAAGAAAAGAAGAGATAAACTGATTAAGTCCCATAAATATAAACTGGCCAATACAATGACCATCTAAATATGGTTTTAACACCCTTTAATACACAGTGGGACCATAATGGTAAAGAGTACAGTACATCACACTGACAAAGGTGTGCTAATGTCACAAAATAGAAAATGGCCACTTAGCCACCCATTTTTACTAGAGCAACAGTTTCTAATAGCCTACTATAGCCTTTTTGTCTCTCAGTGTCTGTTATAGAACGATGGATTTGATATTGATCAAGGCTATCTCCCACATAGCGTTTCTCGGAACCGCTGTCAATAGCTGCAGTATTGTACCTTTCCTTGCTCTCTTTATGTGAATCACTCTTAGTGTTGAATATCTAATATCATTCTTTCACGATCTATCATTACTATTTTTTATACTTATACACTGAGTGTACAAAACACCTTTGCCCCCAGAACAGCCTCAATTCGTCGGGGCCTACAAGGCCCATGTTGACCCCAAGGCCCGTGCTGGCCCATGTTGACTCCAATGCTTCCCACAGTTGTGTCAAGTTGGCTGGATGTCTTTTGGGTGGTGGACCATTATTGATACACACGGGAAACTGTTGAGCGTCAAAAACCCAGCAGCGTTGCAGTTCTTGACACAAACCAGTGTGCCTTGCACTTACTACCATACCCCATTCAAAGGCACTTAAACATTTTGTCTTGCCCATTCACCCACTGAATGGCACACATACAGTGGGGGAAAAAAGTATTTAGTCAGCCACCAATTGTGCAAGTTCTCCCACTTAAAAAGATGAGAGAGGCCTGTAATTTTCATCATAGGTACACGTCAACTATGACAGACAAAATGAGGGAAAAAAAATCCAGAAAATCACATTGTAGGATTTTTTATGAATGTATTTGCAAATTATGGTGGAAAATAATTATTTGGTCTATAACAAAAGTTTCTCAATACTTTGTTATATACCCTTTGTTGGCAATGACACAGGTCAAACGTTTTCTGTAAGTCTTCACAAGGTTTTCACACACTGTTGCTGGTATTTTGGCCCATTCCTCCATGCAGATCTCCTCTAGAGCAGTGATGTTTTGGGGCTGTCGCTGGGCAACACGGACTTTCAACTCCCTCCAAAGATTTTCTATGGGGTTGAGATCTGGAGACTGGCTAGGCCACTCCAGGACCTTGAAATGCTTCTTACGAAGCCACTCCTTCGTTGCCCGGGTGGTGTGTTTGGGATCATTGTCATGCTGAAAGACCCAGCCACGTTTCATCTTCAATGCCCTTGCTGATGGAAGGAGGTTTTCACTCAAAATCTCACGATACATGGCCCCATTCATTCTTTCCTTTACACGGATCAGTCGTCCTAGTCCCTTTGCATAAAAACAGCCCCAAAGCATGGTGTTTCCACCCCCATGCTTCACAGTAGGTATGGTGTTCTTTGGATGCAACTCAGCATTCTTTGTCCTCCAAACACGACGAGTTGAGTTTTTACCAAAAAGTTATATTTTGGTTTCATCTGACCATATGACATTCTCCCAATCCTCTTCTGGATCATCCAAATGCACTCTAGCAAACTTCAGATGGGCCTGGACATGTACTGGCTTAAGCAGGGGGACACGTCTGGCACTGCAGGATTTGAGTCCCTGGCGGCGTAGTGTGTTACTGATGGTAGGCTTTGTTACTTTGGTCCCAGCTCTCTGCAGGTCATTCACTAGGTCCCCCCGTGTGGTTCTGGGATTTTTGCTCACCGTTCTTGTGATCATTTTGACCCCACGGGGTGAGCTCTTGCGTGGAGCCCCAGATCGAGGGAGATTATCAGTGGTCTTGTATGTCTTCCATTTCCTAATAATTGCTCCCACCGTTGATTTCTTCAAACCAAGCTGCTTACCTATTGCAGATTCAGTCTTCCCAGCCTGGTGCAGGTCTACAATTTTGTTTCTGGTGTCCTTTGACAGCTCTTTGGTCTTGGCCATAGTGAAGTTTGGAGTGTGACTGTTTGAGGTTGTGGACAGGTGTCTTTTATACTGATAACAAGTTCAAACAGATGCCATTAATACAGGTAACGAGTGGAGGACAGAGGAGCCTCTTAAAGAAGAAGTTACAGGTCTGTGAGAGCCAGAAATCTTGCTTGTTTGTAGGTGACCAAATACTTATTTTCCACCATAATTTGCAAATAAATTCATAAAAAATCCTACAATGTGATTTTCAGGAATTTTTTTCCTCAATTTGTCTGTCATAGTTGACGTGTACCTATGATGAAAATTACAGGCCTCTCTCACCTTTTTAAGTGGGAGAACTTGCACAATTGATGGCTGACTAAATACTTTTTTCCCCCACTGTACACGATCCATGTCTTAATTGTCTGAAGGCTTAAAAATCCTTCTTTAACCTGTCTCCTCCCCTTCATCTACATTGATTGAAGTGGATTTAACAAGTGATATCAATAAGGGATCATAGCTTTCAACTGGATTCACCTGGTCAGTCTACAGTATGTCATGGAAAGAGCAGGTGTCCT